CATACAATAGTAACAATACAGCAATCACACTAACGATGATCATCATCATCATCATCACCACCATCACCATCACCATCACCATCACCACCATTTTCTTCATCATCACCATCATTTTTACAACAAAAGAAGTAAATAACAATACATACAGTATCAATAGAACAATAACACTCTCTATATATATAGTATACATAATGGCAATATATACGTGTATATATATATACATAATATATATACATAATATATATACATAATATATATATATACATAATATATATATATATATATTCATAATGATAATGTGTACTAATAGTAATAATAATAATCATCATCATCCACCCCTTCTTCAGGCCCAAGGTACTTGTACTGAACTGGCAATTGCAAGGTCGTCAGGTCTAAAAGTTCCTGGTGGAGTTCCTTGTAGCTGAGAATGCGCTGAAGCGTCTCCAAGAACCTCTGAAGACTCAGAAAACCCATGGAGATCTGTTCATTTAACCAGAGAAATTGGTGACTTCATCCAAAAAAAATGGGTTTTACTGTTGATATGGCTCATTTATGATGGCGAATCTAGGTGATAGATAGGCAAATTATCACAGTAACCAATGCGAATTTAGCCAACCACATTGGTATTGAACCACCAATATGATGGCTTTGCAGCCCAGTTGGAACCACACAAAACGGTGCCAAAATCTTGCTTCACCATAGAAGGTGGATAATAATGGCTTTGCTATGATGATTGATCAAGGTCAATCATGGTTGATCACGCTTAATCATGGTTCTATAATCACGGTGAATCATCCATCTTGATGATTGTGATCATTGATGATTGATCATTCATCTTCACCAAAACAACATGCCATTTGGAGGTATCCCCATGTTATCCCCCCATTTTCAGACACACCAACCATAGTCGCCAGATGTCGCTAGTACACAATGAATATCACCAAACTCATATGGGCAGGAACTAGTCCAACTCAGGGACGTTACCCAACGTGTTTCAGATCATTATTTTGATATATTTTGGAACATTAACCCCTGGGATTCTCTATCACGGTAGCTCCTGTACGACTCATGAAACTTCATACCGAGAGGATGGGATGTGTTGAAGTCTGAAAAGACCTTCATGTTTGGCTGCTTATCGTTGACCAAGGTTGACCCACATGGTTCTTGAACCCTGGCAAAAAAAGGGTCGTTCATTCCCTTTTGTACTGGTAGAGTGTTCACTCAGATCCGCAAAGACTCAATGTGGAAATAAAATCATGTCAAAACTACTCAGTTTGGTATATCACCATGTTAGTGGTTAAAAATCCCATTAAAAGTGCCACAACTTGATTAAAGATCCCATCATTTTTGACGGTTAAATCATGAAATGTCTGCTGTTTCCGCTGCTTACCATTCGCACGTGTGCTAGTTACATCAATGAAATCATCCAATTTTGGTCAATGATGAAAATCCCTTGAAAAATCACCATGGATTATCCATGATAAAAACCCACATCTATGGTCAGCTTCCCAGCAACTCCTCCTCGGTGAGCTGCGACTTGGTGAGCTCCGCCGTCATATGCGTCATGGCCAACAGCCTCGGTCGCAGCGGCAGCGAGCGCAGGAACTCGACCTCGCTGCGCCGCACCACGTGCTGCGCGACGTAGCTGTGCCAGAGCTGGTCATCCAGAGTCCTGATGATCATTGGATTTAAGGGAAAATCTACAGGAAACCATGGTTTTTACCACCAAATATAGGGCTTTCCTGTAAATTTTCCCATCATCCAATTCTATGAGATAACGGTTTCTGATGGTTTCTGGGGGAGAGATTCTATAGTGATTGATTGTTCAACCATTTGGGTGTCTCAATTTTGAAGAACTGGGCCGCGAGCAGATCCAACAAGATCATATTTATGTGAGGTTGCGAGGTTGCGAAAATTGTGTGGTTATTTTCTGATGACTTCATGTGGATCTATCAATATATATATATATATCAATCATGAGATATGTGATTCTGGAATGTTTTTTGTGTTTTTTTTTTCAGAGTTTTCGGTATATATGTTCTGATGTGCTTCTTTGACTTTTGGATGGATTTTGTGTGGATTCCGTGGGGATCTATATTTTTATTGGTCTTTCTTGTGATATGTGGGGATGTTCTTTGGGCGGGCATTCTTTTTAGTGTTAGATGATCATCATCTGGCTGAAGTATCTGAAGGTCCACGTGAAATCATAAATCTCTCAAAACTCAGATTGAAATCTCTAGTTGGTTGCATGTTGATCTTAGATAAAGTAAAGTAACTTAGAAATCTTTGAAATCTCTTACCCAAAGTTACATTCATCTTAGTTCTTCAGTTCTTCACTTCGATTTTTCCCCAGTTCTCTAGATCCAAAGATCCGAAGATTTTTGGGTTGAGATCCACTGGTGACATCTGGTGACATCTGGTGACATCTGGTGACATCTGGTCACCAATTGTGACAGTGCAGCAACTGATTTTATACCATGGTCTTCGAGGCCTCTCGACTCCTGTGTTTTTTTTCTGTGTCTAAAACTAGGGCAAAAAAAACATATGGTTCCATGAATTTTTCTCTGCGGTCCATTTTGGGTTCCCCTAATAATTCTCAGACAAAACTATATTTTGGGGGTATTGGTATCATCTGCCAAAAATCCGTCAACTTCTGATGAATCGCCTTTGCAGATGCCTCCTGCTGAATCAACTGGGGTCAACATCTTCTGCCTATAATCCTCGTTTATCTCCAATTAGGACCTCTACCTTTCGGGGGTTGATCATTTTGATACATCACCATTTGCATCTCGATATTAGTCGTTATAAGCTATATATCCCATGAGATTCCATAAAAATCCAGAATTTCCAGCTGTCAAGTCACAACAGCATCACCAATCCAGCGCTAGAAAACCTCTTTTCCCCCATGACTTAATGTCTAATGTCCCAAGATTAGATCACAAATCCCTCATTTCTGCAAAATGTTTGCAGTTCTTAATCCAGGGACATCCAGGGGATGTCCTGCCCGATGTTCGGCCCAAGTCTCCCATGTCGCAGTTCATCCACCGCCAGCAGACTGCAACTGGCCAACCACCGCGTGGCCAGGTGATGATACGCCGCGCTGCCGTCGCCGGTCCTTTTGGTTCCGAAGAAGAGCCGAGCTTCGCCTGCGAAGTCGTGGACACAGGCGAAGAGACGCTTCAGGGCGCCGCAAATGTGGAGATACCTGCGATGAGATCTCTCCAACAGAAGGGATATTTATTGGGACAAAACACATTAAAAAACAGAAACAGGAGAGCGATTCCGGAGAGATTGGGATAGATTGAGAATATCCGGTTTTGCAGCCTACAAGACTTGGCAATGTTAACATATGTTAACCATGACAACATCTTGACACCGTTCGACGGTGAGGGTCCGGTGATCTGGGGGATAGAGAATCCACTGCAACCACCAGAGATTGGACATGGGTGAAATATGGTGAACTGGGAGATCGCTAAGCAGACCAACCAATATGAAACCTCTATTGTTTGGGCTTCCCCAACATTTGGACTCTTGAACTCTGACCCCTTTTTGTTGCGCTAAAAACGCGTCTCTTTCTGCCTCTGGAAGCACTGGTTGACATGAAAGGCCAGGAAGAAAATGCTGAGCAGCGTCAGGATTTTCAGGTCGATCCAATCCACGCTGATGGCTGAGGCCACATAGCTGGGTTGCTGAAACCAGCCGGATTGGTAAGCACCCCAAGTCATCAAGTGCACGCCCAGCATGAACCAGAATTCCAATCCTGGGGGCTGGGCGTACAACGGCATTTCCCCCCCAAAAAGTGGATAAACTGCTTAGCAAAACAAAAAATATCAACATGATATTTAAATCAGGAACTCATCAGCAAATTCTTAAATCGATCCATGTTGATACTTTCTGATATCATATATTGAACGAAGATTGATGATGGTTGGTGCAAATCCAGGAATCTGAGAATTACATGGGGAATGACGGAAGCTGAGAGTTGAATCATCGATTGGAACGCAGCACTGGAAGGCCCTGAAAGGGCCCAATCTTCTATCCCTTCCATCATGCTCGTAAGGTTAGAGGAAGTCAGGAAACATCTGATTGTCTGAGTGTGACATCCAGAGAATGTAAGACGTTTACATCTATACAGATTATAGATTTAATTATCAAATATCTACTGGACAACTGGATATCCAAACGGTCTTTTTTTTCTTTGGCTAATTGGGGAGATGTTTAACTTTGAATAACCAACTGATCATGAATATCCAATATGATACTTTGGCAAAACAATGCTGATCCCTGCACTCTTACGTAGGCCTCCAATGTGCAGCCACCTTTTGAGCCGGAGTTGCAGAAACACAGCCACCAACCACAGGATAAACATGAAGGACAGATGAATTATCGTATGAATAAAGTGCGGAAACCAATCAATTATGGACATAGTAAACCGTTTTGGATTTATTGGCCATTTCATGAAGGTTCACATCCAACTATGACCCAACTTTGACCTAGCACCCAGAATCTCTACCAACAGGTTTCGGGATCACCCACTAGTCAGAAACACACTCAATTCCTATATGTTGTCACTTTTCTGTACACAGTATCAGCAAAATATATCAAAACACGTCAAACCATTGCACTTTCAACATTGGATGGCTTGTTTAAGGACAAAAATAATCACCAGGTAAGCCAATTGCATTGACCAGCGAACCAATGGAAGACATCTCACCATCTACTCAGGTTAGTAAGCTAGCCGCTTGCAGCCCAGCATTACAGTATGGTCCAACATTTTTTTCGATGCAGCTGTGCAGAAGCTTCACAATACCCCCATCTTATTCTTGTTAACAACAATCTGCAGTCGATTCACTTGAAATTGCCAATAGCAAAATTCAATGATGATAGCAAAAAAGAAACCTCCAGAAACATTAAAGATATCGATATCTGGTGGCTTCTGGGCCCAAAATTAACCTCCACTAAGGTGACCAATTTCTGGACGACTCGAGGAGTTTCCCCACCTGGCACCACAGGCCACAGCATAGGTGCCAATCGCTTCGATCGCAGCCAGACGCTCCTGACATTTGGCGGTTTCAAGGTGGCCCGATTTTCTTTGGTGGTTGATAAAGTCATTATAGAAATGTATAGAATAGCATAGATATATCTACAATAACCCATAGTCATTAACTATGGTTTATGGTTGATATATCTATATACTAATTAACTATGGTCAACCATAGTTAACCATAATTGACCTCGTTGGAAAACAACTTAGCTATCGTTTGGTGACCTGACCTTGCAGGAATGCAAGTTTTTGGGGCAGAAACCTGAGACTTATAGCCTGATTGAAATTGAAATTATTCAACACTCCTTGAGAATCATGAGAATCGATTGGGAATTGCGGTTTCAAATGTAAAAAAACTCTTGAAACACCAAATGATAAAACAAATATATATATAGTGTATATATATATATAGTATATAATATATATATATATGAATCTATTGTTGGTATGGCGTGTGATGTGCTGTTCTTGACAATCTTGGTTTGTGGTGAAATTGCAGGATAGTGGACACAGTATATATTTGTTGTCATTTGTTTTTCGCCGTTCCAACCATCTTCTTCAAACAATGTGTATTGTCATCGTCGCAATCCAGGTACGAGACATGAACACTTCATAGGTCGCGGTCGTGTTCCAGGTTTGTTTCAGTCCAAGAACACACATCCAAGGAACTTAGAATTTCACCTGATTCAAGAAATTGCATCGACAACTTACCCTCTGGTAAACGTTTACATAACTATGGACAAATCACCATGTTTCATGGGAAAACTCACTATAAATGGCCATTTTCAATAGCTATGTTAGTTGACCAGAGGGTATATACAACATTCCACGATCATTCCACGTTCCAACCAGTCTCCATTCGCCGTGCCTCGTGGCTACCAGTTCTCACTGCGCGAGAACGGCCATGCTTCACCTGGGCTCACTGCAACATTCAATGGGAATATTTGGGGGGTATATCAGTATATCCCCTTAATTAGGCCTCAAAAATAGGCCTAAAGTAGGCCTGGTAAAAAACATTTAGTAAAACATGTTTCGAAATTCTGTGAAAACACAGCACAGAACGCAGCAGAAAACGAAATGGCGCCATGGGCCATGGGCACCTTTGAGGCCCCGGGCCACATGGCCAGTCTCTTGTGCGCGCAGGGCTTCGAGGGCCGGGGGCATGACCTGACCGATGTTTAGATTACTTTTAAGAAACCACAAAGCATAACTTATATTAACTTATGACAAAGTATAACATGTATAACTTATGTTAACTTATAACGTATCAATTTGCATGACGGCCAAACTTTCAAGATTGTGTTGTTTAGGTTTGAACCATTCTTCCGTTTAGCTTTTAAACATAGACTCAAAACCCGCCGGTTTTCAGTTGGGGATTCGACGATATTGACCTTTCAAGTCTTTCAAGTATCAAATGATCCCCAATAGAGAAAATTAGTCAAAATAGTTGTAACCAATTATGTTCCCCAAATCATCAATTAACAAGTAAGTCATCTTAAGATAATATACAATTATAATTTCTATATATTTTTTTTTAAATATATATATATATAATATTATATAATATATTAATATACACACTACGAGTATATACACAAAATCCCCCGACAATGTACTTCCCTAACTTCATCCATCTCTATCAAACGACCCACGTCCGTTGTGGCACCGTCTCCAGCGACGGCGCAAAGTCTTCGAACTGCGCCAAGGCCACACGGGCGTAGAAGTTGTGCGCGCTGGCACGCGCCTGGAGCAACAAATGCCGCAGCAGCTAAGCCACTAAAATGGGGGAATAATGTGATGTTTTAGGGATTTTATAGGGGTTTTATAGGGATTTTATGGAATGGATGGGATATGATGGGATTTAATAGAGATCGTGTAGGGAATACTGGTTAATAGTTGTCAGTCATGATTGATACTGGTGATTGATGCCTATTAATGGAGTATAAACAACAATAAATAAAAATATTGTTGGAATAAAACTAATATCTAACCACTAGTGGCTAGCATTGGCTCTTAACCATATTTAACGATCATATAAACCATCGATTATTGCTCAAGAACTTCAAATAGAGGTACCCTTCAGTAATCAAACATGGGAAATCTCCGAAAACAATGGTTTATATAGCTGGTCTAAAAAATATCAGCTAGCACTATGTCTGGATGCTTCAAATGGGTGATTTCCCAGCCAGGGTATCTATTTCTGGGGTGATCCCTGACCCATCACTTGGGTAGCTTGGGGTCTGCCAACTATATAACTGAAGAAACAAACGGTCAAACGGTCAAACGGTGTGTAAACATTGTGGCTGTGCCGCTGTGCGCCATTTGAATGGTGGAGAATGTGGTAACCCCAATGCCACGGAACCTTTTTTTATTGTTGTGTTTACACTGCTGACTATTTTTACATGGACGTTCTCTCGATTTGATGGAACAACAAATTCCATCCTTGTCGCGCCACACCTTGTTTTTTCCTTTGGGCAATAAAGTGCCTATGGTCGAAACAGGGGTAATGGAGTGCAATGCTCAACGGACTCCCCCCAATTTGCTAGCGAATTGCATTGGGCCATGTTCTCACGGCATTTCAAAAGAAAAATATGTTTCACCTTCCAAAAAGCACCAAAAGGGGGCTCAAGGCACTTTGTTCTTCTGAAAATTGTACATGGAGGCCTTTGTCTTTGTCGACAGGCCTTTGCCCTTGTGCTCTCTTTGAAAGGCGTTCCATGGATTCCTAGGTGTGCCCTGCTTTGGGGTCTGCTCAACGCTCACACCTGCAGATCCCGCGGCAAAACTCGAACCGCTGGATGAAGGCTCACCAACTGCTAAGCCCGAGGTGGTAGCGGAGCCGCTGGAAGTAGATTCTCCAGCCATCATTGGAGATTGCCCAGCACGCTGCTGCAAGCCCGATCGTGATGAAATAGAGGTCGACTCACCATGCTGCTGCAAGCCCGACCGTGATGACAAAGAGGTCGACTCACCATGCTGCTGCAAGCCCGACCGTGATGACAAAGAGGTCGACTCACCATGCTGCTGCAAGCCCGACCGTGATGACAAGGAGGTCGATTCGCCATGCTGCTGCAAGCCCGACCGTGATGACAAAGAGGTCGATTCGCCATGCTGCTGCAAGCCCGACTGTGTTGTTATACTCACAGACGTAGAGCTCTGAGTGGACGAAGCCCCTTCAGATCGCTGAAATTTCACCAAAACTTCCTCACCTGAATCCTTTTCCACATTCAGCTGACGGCATCTATCCTCCTCTCTGTGCGAAGGACCATACAATCGCTTCAGGCAGCACTTGGCACCACTAAAAGCAAGCTGCCCCGCATAGATTGCACCCAAGGCCATCAAAATCGCACCACAAGTCCAAATGACTTGAGAGTCAGCGTCACCGTCATCTTCAGGGACGGAATCAGTTCCAGAAAGTAACATGCTTCCAGCCACCAAGGTCATCACAGCAACATTTCGGCTGCCACCTTGCTCATCACCATCACGTCGATCTGGTGGTTGTTGTTGTTGCATCCCAAGGTCTGTCAAAAAGGCTGCAAAGGCTTGTCCTTGAAGAGGTTTGGTTAAGCCATCGGCCACAAGTTCTATTCCTCTGAGATGCAAAAGGCGCCACATGCCACCTGGTGCTCGTCCTTCAAGAGCTTCACGGAGGTACGAGGAGCGTATGCGCAAGTGACGCGTCCTCCATGATGCATTGCTTGTGCCATGCGCCAATCCAATGGCCGCCACATTGTCACCATACAGCACCCTCTCTATGGCATCGCTCCCAACCGGAACACCCATCATCGTCGATAGCATTGCTTCGGCCGAACGACCTGCATTCAAGGCATCACAGTAGGCCACCAACTCGCTCTCCGCAGTGGAATGGGTGACGAAAGGTTGCACGGCTGTTTGCCAGCTGATGATGGCACCGGCAAAGAAAATTGCCATCCCCTGAATGCTCCTTCCACGGGAACCAGTGCCATAGGCGATATCTGAAAAAACCTCCAGAAGCTTGACACTGCGTGCGATCTTCAGCTGATTGCGCTCCCCCCAGATCTCTTTTGGAGCTTCTCTGGGATACCAAAGTCCACCAGGTTTTCCCCGTATGTATGCCATCACGTTCATGCCGATTTCAATGGCTTTCACAGGGTTTTTTGTTGCTAAACGGCAGACAGCTGAAACTCCGACTGAAATGTCAGGTCGTGTTCTTGTGTTCAGCCAAAGTAAGGCCCCAGCTATGGCCTGCGCAGTTTTGATCTGGCTCTGGTCGACTTGTTGTTCTGGTTCTTCATCTCCTTCACACAGCTTGAAGTTCGGGTAGTCGATGGACCTTGTCACGTTCCATCGCTGAAGCATCTCTTGCTCATACCGTTTTTGTGTGAGAAGAAAACCATCATGGCCTGGAGCTGCTTCTATTTCAAAACCACAGTACTTGACCGGCTTGTTCACCTCAGCCCTCTCAACCTCCGAGATAGCCCAGACATCAGCAATGGCTTTGATTGCCATTTCAGCAGCACCATCCTCTGCAGTGATCAGCAGATCATCCATATACACAGACATCATTCCAGACCAAAACTTCTCCCCCGTTTTTCTGTTCACCTCCTCCAAGCGCCAAACGTTATCATCAGGGGTTCGGCTGAAGCTTCCATCAACTTCTTGTCCCTGACGATTCCTCCGCCATGACATCGTTGGAAGGGTTTCGTCTCGATAGAGACACCAGTCTCTAGGGGAACTGGTTAGGCCATAAACAGCCTTCTGGATGATCCACACATCATTGGGACCGGCCAGTCCAAGCTTTCGGAAGACAGTGGGCACCTCCATCGCCGTGATCTTTTTGTCATCACGTTTGGGAGCGTTCAAGAACGCAACTCTGATATCTGTTCCACACACTGACCAGTTTTTTACACCAGCAAGTCGTACTTGAGCTCGGATTTGGTTGCCGTCAGCACCACTGGCATACCGTTCATCGCTGCCAGCTTCTTGGTAGTTTCCACATACTACCGCTCTGGACCTGTAAGCACCTGACCCAGCTTTTCTGGTGTGGACCATCTTCCCAGGCAACAGCTCAATGGGAAGCCCAGCGCTTTTGGCCAAACTCTGCAGCTCAGCTTTTGCCACCTGACGTACTGCCTGCTTCGTATTGACAAGCTGTTCAAATTCAGCCCTGATGGAGTTCTCCCAGTCATCTAAGTGAGACCAGACCTCATTGTTGCTGATGGTCTTCGTCACCAAAAACTCTTGCTCCAAAACTTGTTGGTCTTCTTGAAGCTGTTGATTTTGAGCTTCCTTGAGCTGATTCTCCAACATGAGCTTTAAAGAAATGGCATCAGAAACCACCCCAATCCACAAGGCCTGATCGCCTGACACTGCATCCAAACGTTTCATCTCTTCCGCAACGTAGTTGGCCACGTTGGCATGCAGAGCTCTCAAAGCCGTTACACCACTTTTACATGAGGCCACCGGGCTTGAGCCACCATCCCGGTTGTTAGGCGCCTCCTCCATCTCCCCTCCTCCAAGCTCTTCGGCATCAGATTGTAGGGTAGGCGTTTCCGCCTGTGATGCGGCTGATGGCGTTTCGGCCTGTGACTCACCGATGTTTGATTTGAAACGTTTGACATAGTTCCCAAGGTCCAGCTGGCTTCACTTTCAACTGCATCCACGTCAAACATGTGTTGAAGATGCTGTGGCACTCCAAAAACATCATGTTGTGGACCAAAAACGTTTTCAGACCCCTTTACCTCCCCCTCGATGTTCCACATCGATCTGATGGCTGGAACTGCCGTTTTTGTTCTCAAGCGCCTGGTTGGCACACCATCCATCACAGAAGGAGCAGGGCGAAGTCGTTCAGGAAGAAAAATTGCTGGCTCCGCAGGTTCAGCTGGCATCGCTGGAGGATGAACCGGTTCAACCACATCATCCGTAAAAAAGAACCGACCAGTTGCCACGGACTTCACATAGTAGTTGGTTGTTGTGAGGCTGCTGCATTTGTCGGGGCCCATGACAATGACTTCTTCTCTGGTGTCACGCCAGGGATGGTACCGATCTTGCCATGACTTCTTGAGGGCAAAGGCTCTGGTGCCAAATTTCAAAAGTGGAGCAGCCGGCCATCCAATTCCTTGAAGCTGACTTCGAAGTCGTCTTTCGCCAACATGGCGCAAAGCCAATGGCCAGTGGTTCAAAGGACACAAGTTTGCACTGATGAGAGTGCGCACAGCTCGCTTCACCGCACCCACCTCAGCTTCCACTCGTCCATTGGTCTTGTAGGAGCTTCCAGTTGTGAGGGTAGTGATCACTCCTCGATCCAGCGTCCATTTGCGAACCACTGCTGATGTCAGTTCTCTGGCCCTGTCACAGTGAATTCGAAGTAGAGGAAGACCTAGATGGCGCAATCTGGCATGTATTCTTGCCAGTGCTGGCAAAACATCTTTCACTGAGCGTGACTGGACAACCTCGGTGAAAGTCAAGTTCTTCACATGAACATTCTGAGCGTCTTCCACCAATCGTTGCCAGACATCAAATGCAGTCCTCATTGCTTCTTGAGCGGGTCCATCTGCATGTTGTTGAGGTTGTGGTTGCTCTTGCAAAGGATCCAGAGGGTCAGCAAGGCCTTCAGCACTCTCAGGGCTGGGTGGCAGATCTCCCCCGTCATCCATCACAACTTCATCATCATCTTGAACACCATCATGTTGAGCTGCATCGTCCCCTCCGTATAAATCCATCGACGGCAGAGGATTTGCAGCAAGACCACCATGTTGTGCTGAATGCCCCTCTCCGTGTAAGTCCATCGACGGCAGAGGTGCTCCAGCTTGATCATCCCCTCCGCATAAGTCCATCGACGGCAGAGGATGATCGTGGTCTTCTTTTGAAACTTCAGGGGGATCAACAAGAGGACGTCCATCACCTGTTACTGGAAAAGTGTAACAAGCCACCATGATGTACCGACACCGATCTGTGTCTTGATCTCGTCCTTCTGTGAGCTTCCCGGACAAGTCAATTGACAAGGTGAAGGCATCGGGATGTGTCACCCTTCGGTGTGGACGAGATCGCCCTTGTGCACGAACACAGTGCATGCAGTCGCGTCGTGCTGGTAGATGATCATGAAGGAAGTGCTGCTTCCATGCCTCAAGAGCCACTTGGTTTAGAGGCTTGAGAGTTGGTCGTTGAGCTTGAGCTTGATGACCTTCACCTTCAAGACGTTGCACATGTCGGTTCAAGGCCTCCACAATCGCCTCTTTCAGCCCTGGAGCCCATGCAGACCATGTTTTGGATTCTTGAATCCTCTGAGGCAACGTCATAGCTCTGAAGGCTTCTGAGGTTTGAACTTCATCATCAGGTTCTCCTCGAAGGCCATCAAGTTGGAACAATTCCTCCATGTTGGTTGCCACAGTGGTCGGCTTACGCTTCTTGTGGCCCATTGGGTGCTGGTCCATATGGATGAGGGAGATGCCGTACTTGGCTGCAAAGTCATGCCATTCCTGAGTCCTAAAAAAGGAAAAGTAGCCATTCTCGTGAACATCTTGAGGACTACGATACCTTGCAGGATCTTCAGGTTGCTCCAGCAGAAGTTGAGTTGGGATTGCATCCAGCTCCCTGACCTCCTCCGCCACAATGTACAGAGCCAAGTACCGAAACATCAGTGTGACATCCCCAATCACCAAATTGTGGTCAGCAACCGTCAAATTTGGAAGGCCATAGGGGTACTCATCATCACGTACAACTCCAGGACCACCATCATTCTGATACCTTAAGGCACTGATGGTTCGGCAAGGTGGCCCACCGATGATGGCCTTCACGTTGCCCGAAGCACAAATTGAGAGCAGGTAGGCAAAGACGTTCTTGTCCAAAAGGCTGGCTGGAACTGCGCTATTGGTGTCAACGCACAGCACCTCCGTGGTCTTTGTAGAACACTTCTGCTCCCAAAAACGCTGATCAGGGCCGGAGAAGATGTGTAAGATCACATTCTTGGCACGCTGAACCCTCCTCCTTTTGCTTCGATTCCAAGGCAGTCTGGCCCCAAAGTCCATGGCCTTCAGCTGCTCTAAGTATGGAATCAGGCCCATCATCACCTCATCAGGCAAATTCGGGAACATTTCCCGCATCTTCAGCGTCACGGCCATCTCCATTGTCAGCCTGCTTTTGTCCACCATGTTCGCATCCATCATCATCGTCTTGACAATGGCCAGCTTTCTGCCTTGATGGATTTGGAAGTGCTCCAGCCAGTCCAACATCTTTCTGCCCTCTGCATTTGACACCATTGGGCAACCATTGCGCACTTCCACTGGTATTTCACGATTTTCATCATCTCGCAATCTGCAGACATCACCACTCCATTCCAAGGTGAAGTCCAAATCAGCCAATCCTCCCATGGGGACAATACAAGCAGTTGTGCGACCAGGTTCGCTCAGAAGGATCTTGGTTCCACGTTTCAAGCGGAACATCTCAGTGCTGCCATCCGCTAGCTGAACTGTTGTACGCTCAGCTTTCGTCCACTCATCATCATCCACTGCAGGCCTTAGACCATGTGTTGCGCCGCTGTCCAGCAAGATGAAATCGTTCTCCACATTCTCCCACCCAGCCAGCTGCATCACTTTCAAACGTGGATTTGTTGGAGGGACCCTGAGAGTTTTCAGAAGCTGTGTCGCCTCATACAGAAGCTCCGCTGTTTTGGAACCACCTCCATCGCTCCCCCCACTTCGCTCTCCATCTTTTGCCCCATTGGTAGCTGAGCTTGTCACTTCCGGAGCCACCGCAGCAGTGCCACCATCTTGAACAGAAGATTCATCAGCATTTTTCGCCATCTTGACTGCCGCTGCCCCAGCTTTTCCTCCCATGGACAAAGATGAAGATGTTGAAGAAGACTGCGCTGTGGAAGAGGTCGCATTTGAAGTTGAACCACGTCCTCCCCCTGGGCCGTCACGCGGCTCACCAGTCTTCTTGCTGGCCGATTTCACAGTGCAGTCGGCCTTCCGATGCTCTTTGCTTCCACAACTCCAGCATCGACTGGCTTTGTCTTCGATGCCCTCCCAGCTATGAGACCACTTGCATGCTTTGCCTGCTCTGCAACCAACATCAGACGCAAAGAACTTGCAAGGTTTGTCAGCCGTTGCATTCTGCCTCATCTTGGTGTCAGCTGGAGAGGTAGTTGTAGGAGTTTTCGCATCACCTTGAAGCTGCTTCAGTTTCAAGGGTGTTTGAGGAGAAGTAGCTGTTGAGGTTGACATCAGGCATAGTGTCTCCGCCTCCGCCAACAAACGCTGGCTGAACGCCCACAAGCTGGCATGCTCGGGCTTCTCATCAAGCTGCAACTGCATCCTGCTCTGAGACAACCTGAACGCAGCCTGTTGATCGAGACCAGCTATCTTTTGAAGTGGGGTATCCAATGCTTTGACCAACAGCACACCATCAGGCAAAACCGCCTGGACTTCCTGAGCACGTCCATAGTGCCTGCGCCAATTGCGCAATGCCCCAGCCACCTCCTGAATCGTTGTCAGCTTCGGCATCGAGGTGAGCTGTTGAAGTAAAATTTGCTTTTCACCTGCACCACCTGGCTGAAATCGCACCAGCAACTTGTACAAAATCGCAGTTGAGCTCAATGCCCGATCAGTGACCAACGTTTGCTGCTCAGCCAGCGGGATTGCCTTCAAGAGCATCTGAATCCCCCGCTGCTCAGTCCGCTGAAACTTGTGCTCACAGAGATCTGCCGGCAGTCTAGGGTTGATCTGTATGCGCTGCAAAGGTGTGCTTTGCTTCCACTGCTCGTAGTAGCACTTGGCCTCGCGTAGTGTTGACTCCCACCACCAATCAGCAACACCTGACAGATCCTTCATGACTGGCGTTGAAAGGTGAAGCCAGTCCCCAAACTGCAAAGGACTTGATGACTCCGGCAAGTCAGGCAGCTCCAGTTTGCTCATTGAGCCACCTTCTGTCCAAGGACCGTAGACTCGATCCTGTCCTGCTCCGACTCCACCACCCCCCAAACCATGCCGAGGATGGTCGTTGAAGCTGCCAGGACCTTTATCATGTAGACCCCATGACTCACGCTGCAAAAAGCCAGCCCGATCGTCGCCATAAACTCCGTCAGTTGTTGCAAAGGCCCGATCGTGATGAGGTACTTCAGGTCCAGGACATTCTTTTCGATGCTCTGTGCTAACTGCGCAAGCCCGAGCTTGTAGACGAGGATCACCACTTCCGCCAAGCGATTGACCTGGGCATACAGGACCTCCCATGCTCAAAGCGCTAGTCCGATCTTGTTGCGCTCCTTCTCCACTGCCGCCCAGCAAATGACCTTGGCCTTCACCCTGACGCATGCTAGAAGTGCCAGCCCGAGCTTGTTGCGCTGGTTCACCACATCCGCCCAGTGCAGCCCGAGCTTGAAGTGCATGTGCTCCACTTCCGCCCAGCGCCCAAGGATCATGCTGAAAATTGCCCGGACGAGCAACGGCAGTGGCAGGACCCGGAAAACTGGATTGCAACTTACCATCACTATTGGGATTCCAGTATGAAGACTGTTGCACAACAGGTGGAACTGCTACACGGTCTAAGGCAACCTTGAGTGATCTCACTTCACGTTCTAACCACATTTGTTTGGCCTCCCGCGCAGAGAGAATTTCATCCCTTTCATCCACCGGCCGCCAATTGGTGTCCCCATTCTTGGCTTTGGGCTTGGACTCACAAGTGTCATACAACTCCAAAGCATCATCTTGAATCCCACTGACAAAACTGAATTGTTGAAGTTGATCATGCCCCACATGCTTTGCATCTTCCAAAAAAGGCAAGGGTGGAACTGGTGGATCTTCAGGAACTTCCGGAGGGGGACCATCAGGAACACGGGTACCATTTGGCGTGTATTTGGATGGATCCCTTCTCCCACCTTTCTCAGGACTGATTGCTGTTTCCCGTACACGTGCTCTAGGGGTTCTACTCCCAGATCTTCCTTGGCGATCCTTTTGGGTCTTCCCATCAGTACCATTGGAATGACCAGAGGCAGTGTCACCAAGTTGAGACCAAGGAGAAGAGCTAACACCTGAGTCGGCCTTAGCAGCTGACTGTTCAAGCAAACGCCTGAGATTCGCCACTTCCTCGAGCAGCACCGAATTCTGTTTCCGTAACAGATCCACTATCTCACCTTCTAACGCCCTTTGCAGACTGTCCCCTGACTTGACACCATCCTCTTTGGGGTTTCCAACGGAGCCCATAGTTTTTTCTCCCGACTCACCAGGCATCACACCCTCAGATTTCAGCTGTTGCTGCACTGTAGGCATTCGTGGTTCAACATCCGGCACACCAGCCATGCTGCTGCCACGGCCCTTCCCAGTAACACCAAACTGCATTGAAGGTTGCGACCCCATACCAGAACCAGAAGTACTATTTTGAATAGGCTTTTCATCCACCCCATCTCCAGTCGGCAAGTCAAGAGGCCGATTTGCAGCCAGAAGACACTCCGTCTGCGCTCTGTCGGAGTACCAAGGATTCCCCGCCCCATTCCACACCGCAGGAACTGACTGGGACCTCTCCATGGGATCCTAGGCCCTTAGCAGGTTAGCTTTGGGCTCATAACCCTTGTCGCGCCACACCTTGTTTTTTCCTTTGGGCAATAAAGTGCCTATGGTCGAAACAGGGGTAATGGAGTGCAATGCTCAACGGACCATCAAATTCCATTGCTATGGATCAAATATGATCCGCATCATACTTCCTAAGAAGGTATTTGGCCACCTTTTGTTTATATCCCAAGCATGGCCTCAGAAGGTATTTAGATCCACAGGGCATAGATCCACTTCCTGCTTTGGCATCCAATGCTGGAAACCCTGACGGTGGGATCCACATATTTTCCATCATCCGGTTGGAGAGATGGAAAATCCTCCCATGCAATAAGCTGTGATAAGGTACATATACACAACAATAAAGCACAAATTGGATATATATATATAATCTGGTTGGTGGTATAGCTACCCCTGTGAAAAATATGAAAGTCAGTTGGGGTTATGACATTCCCGATATATGGAAAGTCATAAAAGTCATGTTCCAAACCACCAACCAGTAACCTATTGCTGTGGATCACAGATATGGAAAACATGCGGCCACTTTGAGCCAAGAAGTGATCAGCCACTGGGTAACATACCCGCCTCTCGTCGCGCAACTTGTGACCTCCAATTACACTTTTCAACAACAGAGAACTATCTAGAAACGACCCTCTAGTAATCTGGTTTATTGGTGTTCAATAGGAGTTAATGGTGATTTAAGATTATGTACCCTCTGGTAATCAACATGGCAATGGACACTCTTTAAGTTCGATGAATTTCCCATTAAAACTCCATCTATAGGGGATTTCCCATTGCCATGTGGATGGATTCATGCCAGCACAATGGGGATTGAACGTGGAGTAAATCCCCAAGTGACCAAGTGGCGCAGGATTTAAGAACTGTCAAAAGTGAAAACTGTTGAATCATCATCAGACTGTGTGTAAATTAGTGTTGGTTATCTTCCCCAATTTCTATTGCTTGTCTATCTCTGCTCTAAAAGGATCAAATCACCATGTTTTTGGAATGCGTTCTGACTTGGTTGCATTTACCATATGTTACTATGCAGATACAGGCATTATTTGTCCTCTCGGAACTATCCCCACTCTTGATTTTCTATCCTAGACCGCCTAGACCATTTTTTTTGCTCTTTTTCTATGGGATATAGTTTGTCTATGACTCACCTATTTAACCGAATCATAATCATCTTACCATCTGGTTATTTAACATAGCCATGGAAAATCACCATTTTTAATTTCCCATGGCTATTTTAAATAACCAGAGGGTAAATCACCATGAAATCCCCAAAAAAACTGCTTCAACCCCCCAGCCAAATCGTGTCCCGACCTCAGAGGGTGCGCGGTTGTCCAACAAGACGCTCCGTGCAGCCGCAGCCAATTCCTGGCGGATGGCGATGCCAAGTGCCGACGTCAACATATGCTGAACCTCTGGTAATCAAACATGGTAATGGAAAACCATGGAAAACCATAGTTTATTGGTTTTATTGGGATTCAGAGGGTTTACAAAATTGGATTCCCTCCCCCCCTCCTCTCCCTCCGCTCCCCCCTCTGGCCTAGCTTTTCTGCATGTTCGTTTCGTCTACATCTTTCCTTACGTTGTGCTGGGCTCAACTCTGCTTACGTCTTGCTCAACACCGGCTTGGTTTTGCACATCTTGCTGTCATTTCGATGGTTTGTTCCGTCTTTTTTGTTGTGTTTGCCATCCGTTTGCTCCATCGCTTCTTATATCCAATACTTGTTCCACTTGCTTTTGTGCCGAATTGTTTTACTCGTGTAACCTTTCTATATATGGCCTTTTCCCAAACCCTGGTTTACACACATGTTTTGGTTTAAATTTAACCGTGGTTTGAACAAAAACAATGTTTTGGCGTCAAAGCTGTCTTTTACACAAAGTGCTGTTTTACACACAAACCGTGTTATACACAAAAGCAATGTTTTACACAAAAACAATGTTCTTGCTGGGCCTGTGCAAGCGCTGTTTGTGGCTTGCAGGATAGTTCTTTCCATGATGCCGGCGGAACACGCCGAAGGCGTTTTTTTTATAATGGGATTCAATGGTGATTTAAGATGATTTACTCTCTGGTAATCAAACACAGCATGGAAAATAAGGTATATTTATCGGTGATTTGTGCAATTTAGCTGCCCATCTATGGGGGTTTCCAAGCTGTATTTGATTCCCGGATGGTGTCTAGCTCTGCCCCAAACTTTAGGGGATTTACCACATCTTGTATATGGTAATTTAATGGGGAACACAATGATTTTGATCATCAGATTTGAATGCACCTTATTTTCAGACAAACCCAAACTTGGATGGAAATTACCCCCAACAGACCTTAAACCACCGTTAAATCACCATTAAATCAACAATTTTCGATGATTAAAATCATGGTTCACCTTCCTGTGAACGTGTACACAGATGTCGAAAATCCACCATAAATCTAGAATCTAGATCATTTTCGAAGGGTTTCCCCATGGGTTTTCCATTTTATTCTATCTTTACCCTAGGGTTTCCCATTAAATCCCGTGAAATCCCACATAATCCACATGGATTCCTATGATTTTTCCCTAAATAGCCTACTAAATCATCATTAAACACGGTTAAACGCCATTGAATCACCATTGAATCATCATTAAATCACCACTTTAGCCACCATTAAACCACCATGAAATCACCGGTTCTTGCCTCCTTCTCAGCTTGGAAGGATTGATCCGACCACGCCGAGGCAATGACCGCGCCTGAAACGGTAAAAATGGTGCTTTAATGTTTAAGTATGGTTAAGTAAACCTGTTTTTTTTCTATATGGCAGTGTGTCAAAACCTTGTACCCCTGTAGTTCACATCAAAATAGCTGGTAAATGGATGTTCATCCCATTAAAAATGGTATTAATAGGTATTGATCCATACCCATATTTCTATATAGATGACTTTATTGATGTCGATTTTAAACATTAAACTAATTGTTGGTTGAAAAAAGTGCCCCAGTGCTGATTTCACGGTGGCTTAATGGGGGTTTAGTCATATGGTTGGGATATAGTAAGGGTTCAAACTTAACGTCAAACAACATAGAAATTAGAAATTGATGCAAGAGGCGAGTTTCTTATGAAAGTATCAAAACTGTGATATCCACCATTTTATCACTGGTCTGGCTGAATATATTCACTTACAAAACTGAACAGTTCGATCACTTCGGGGTGTGCGCCCTCTAAAAAAAACCAGAGTCATCCCATTGACATATGATAACCAACCATAGATGGCCATATCAACAAACCATGGTTATTACCCTCTGGTAAACGAACATAACTATGGAAAATCACCATGTTTAATGGGAAAACTCACTATAAATGGCCATTTTCAATAGCTATGTTAAATTACCAGAGGGTATCATATAGTTACCCCTACTTAATCCCATTGAACGCCCCAATTCTACCCTGACGGATCCCATCACTCTATCGTCCTCTGAAAAACACCTCCATCTGTTAATCATGATCCCTAACTAAGTAGGATAATAAACGATAATAAACATCATATGGAATATCATGGAATATATAATTATGTATGATTATATATGATTAACCATAGATAATATCACTGTTTGCTCAATACTCTGGGCATATTGCTTCGCTATTCCCCCATTAGCGATAAAACTGGCCTGCAGCATCGAAACAGGCGGCCTCGACCTGGCGTCTTGGCAGCCGTGGATCTGTTTTTTTCCCATGGATTTTGGATGATTCATGGATTATATGACTAAACAAAATCCATGGAAAAATATGATCCAATATCATAAACAATTTGACTTTTGGGTGATATTGTTTATGACTGTTGATATCTTTTGGCGGATTTGCTTGTGACTTTCGATGCCTTTTTAGATAATTTTCCGAACAATAGATGATGTTTAGACGACCTCTCACTCTGAAAATCCCAGTGACTCAGTTCACGAATCGGGTGTTCTTCAGTGAAACTGTGGTCATTGTTGGGATTCTCAGTTTGCAAAAAACATCAATCAATAGGAAATTTACTCATGTTCCACCTATCTCGCATATCCAACCAAACTACTGAATAGACCTGTTGCTTGTATAAAATATACACACATGATTGTTGGTTCAAATTGACTAGCATCTCATACTTGGATGATTTGGAGCGTTTACATTGTCCTTGTTGCTGCTTATACTGCCAATTTCAAATGTTTGTTTGCCTATGTATACACACATCATGCAATATATAGTATGTAGTGAACTGTGTGCAGTGTATAGTGTACAGTGTACAGTGACAGTGTAGAGTGTATTGTGTATACGGTGTAGTGCGCGGTGTGTAGTATGTTCTACACAAATATAGTGCAAAGATGCGTATATATAGTAGTAGTAGTAGTAGTAGTAGTAGTAGTAGTAGCAGCAGTAGTAGTAGTAGTAGCAGTAGTAATAGTAATAGTAATAGTAATAGTAGCAGCAGCATTAGTAGTAATAGTAGTAATAGTAGTAGTAGCAGTAGCAGCAGCAGCAGCAGTAGAGTATATGGTATCTTAAAGACTACATTCCATTAACATATTATATATGTCGTAATCCTATCATTCAGAGATACTACAGCTGTCATCTATGATCATCAATCAGTACAAGGATTTACATAGCATATATTTATATGTAACATGCGTATATCGTATTGCCTTAATATATATATATATTGCGAACTGTAAGATCTCATAATTATCCTAACTATTCTACAGTCACATTAGAAAGATAGTCGCTATATCAAGTTAAAATATAGTAATCCACTAAGCTTACTAACCATCATTCCAGCGAGGTCGCAGTGAGGATGTTCTATCATTTAAACCGTTTGCCCTAATGTAATGATATATAATAAATATAGTACAAGATCTATATATTTACCCCTATATAAATAATGATAATAATGATATATATATATAATATGATATTCCATACTGTTAGATCTGGAATGGAATTAACAATTAATACCATAATAATATCATGTTTCTCATATATGGAGGTTTCTTAATAAATGGGGGTACCCCCAAATCATTCAGTTTTGGGAGCATTGTCCATTATAAACCATCCATTTTGGGATACCCACATTTATGGAAACCCTCATATATATATACCACGATACAAGGGAATGGAATATTACATCCCCACTATACGATTCATTATATATATCCCCATTATGATATCATTATACCCATTATATCCCATTATTTATCATACTATCCATTATATCCCATTTATGAATTATCATACTTATATTTATCCCATTATATCCCATTGATCTATCGTGGATAGTGGATATATACCGTTATGTTATATTTGAATCCATTATATACATGATAAATTATTCCATTCTATGAATATATAATTCCCATTATGATCCCATTATTCATGATATCTATATCCCATTAAATCCCATTTATGACCCCCGGGTCGGGGAGCCGCACGGCAGGTCTCACCGGGGAAGCCACCATCTGTTTCCCACCTCCGCAACAAATGGGCCCTCATGGGCCGTGCAAATGAGAGGGAACGATGTTCTAAACGACATGTTTTGTGAATTTATGGAATTAATTGGGGATTTCATTGGATTTAATCTTGTTTAATGCTGCTGGAATGGGTTTTAATGGGATTTAAGGGATATTAAAGGGAATTTAATGGTGTTGAATGGTGTTGTTAAAAGGGATTGAAGATAGTTCGCTCTCTTTTAAACTAACATAGTTATGAAAAAACACCATGTCGAATAGGAAAATCAACGAACTAAATGGTCACTAGTTCAATAGCTATGTGAAATTTAATGATTATCATTTGGCTGATACATGGTCAATATGTTGGGAACTATGATATATATATAATCAATATGTAAATAATATAAAATAATTGCAAATAAATTGGGGAAACTATACCATAAATTTACGAACATGAAAATCAACCTCATGATTGATATGGTGGCATGGGAAAATTATGGCTAATACTATGTTCAAAGAACATGGGATGGAAAGTGATTTGGCTGTTACCATGGCGATGAATCTGATGATAGAATCATGGGTTCAAAACCCTGGCACCCTGGTGAACCCCAGAATAGCTGGTACATGGAGGTTCATCCCCAAAAAATATTGTATTTTGATGTATTATGTGCAGGATTTTGACCCATTTCCAGATGACAAATCTTTAGTCTATGACGGCATGATCAAGCGACCGTTGCAGCCAAAGGAGCTGCAAAGATTGTGAGTTTGAACCAGTCATTTGATGGCCAGTAGTGGCCATGGGCAGTGTGATGAATAGTTACGCAGTAATATTTTTCATACATTGTTTGAGAAAAGAAACAAGAGCAACCAACAAACCCGAATGCAGTCACGCAAACACACTTTTAAGAAACAAACTGTTCAACAGTCTTGTATATTCTTCCCCTGTTACCGTACAAGTGTAGACTCGACTGTGAAAGTAAAACGAGAACCCTTCGCTATGCGTTCCCGAATAATTCTGTCAGATTGTCCGTGGGATGGGACTCCAAATTTTGAGACAAACCCAAATGAAGTTCCAACTTTGGAAACGCAAAGACTTGCTCGGGTATGTTCCCACTAAGATCGTCTTGTTGAGAGTAGTGAAACACTTGTGTTTTTGAGTTTTTTTTGCAGTACCTCTGCCATACTGGAATTACACACTTGGATAGAAGTGAATGGCGAGCTTGTAAAAAAAACAACGTAGAGCTCTAATATTTCATGAATTCAGCATGTTCAGGGCCCAGCCCCTAAACCTTCCCAGAAGCTTCCAGCTGTCGCCTGCTGTGGGCCGACATGCACGAAACTGGGCTGTGGCGGCGGTACTGGGAGATGGCCATGTTTTTCTTGAAGTGGGTACAGGTCAAACCCTACAGTAAGATATGTGTCTAGGTAAAAAAAAAACTGACCTCGGGGACCACAGAGTTTGGTCATCCTTAGTGGATAGTCACCCCAAAAATCACCCAGTTTTGACGTACACCGGGGCACGCCGGTTTTGATTGAAGAGAACACGGGATGCTCATGTGGTCCCCAACCATTCCTGGGTTTAGGAATTTGTTTGGTTAACAAACACTGAGTAGTATATAAGCGGGGTGCACGCAAGTATATAGTAAAAACAAGTAAAGAATGAGCTTGTGAAACAACAAAACTGAGTAGTATTGACCACCATAAATGGAATGTTGGGCAGCATCTATTGAAAGACTTGGGAAGTCAATGTCATTTATATTATCAATCAAAATAATTATGGTTTTAAAACCCAACACATAGGGGACACAATGGGGACAGAAGCAACAAACAAGTGGAATACATGATATATTGTGGCTAACGCTACGAACAACAACATTGGAATAGCCATCCACCCCTAAGTGCTGCAACCCGTACACAAACTTGTCATGTGAAAAACCAGTGAACAAAAGTAAAGTGCTCCATATCCAAAGTCGGTTGCCTCAGAATTTCCCACCCAAAATCCGTCGATCAGATAACGAAATCCATCGCCCATCTAAGATTGTTTAAAAACCTTATGCTCATTTCATGGTTAACTATGGCATACTATGGCCAACTCTCCATAAATCAACACACATGCTTAGTTCAAGGGTAGGTAGGAAACTGCTTTTCAAACCACAACTAATCGTCTAAAACGACAAAACTCCCATGAACCTCCACAAAATCCAATCACTTCTCCTTAAATTCCCTATCAAATCAGAAACCCCTAAATCAGTTCCCCAAAATGCCCATGGAAATCCTCACTAAAGTGGGTAAAACAATGCCATAAACCACCCATGACTGGGAATAGTCAAAGGAAGTTGGGAAGCAATCTTCCGAGTTACGAATGACTTTTGTGCCAGTGACGACTATTCCATGAATGATATTATACGTGAAATCGATAATAATAGCACTGAATCACAAGAGAAAACTGACACGGTTGTTATGTATATAAGACTTTCTCTTCACTAATACAAGCTTTCTGGCAACTTCCGCCCCGCCTCATGCGGGTACTACTGGTAACCATACCATCTGTATTTATGGTGACTGGGGGATGGTTACTGATTCCGTTGAGGATCTAAAACTTACGGAATGGGATAGTGCCCTGTACCATGATTTAAAATTTGATGGCCCCAGTGGTGTGACATAATTTTATTTCAAAACGCGTGATTCTGCACGAGGGTTCCCATACTTAGGACGTTTCAATTTCCAACCCAGGATGTTTATACCTACTAATATAACATATACATTTTGCGGATCAGCAGTGCAGTAGTAGCAACAAATGTTGTATAGTCAATTGCGTAGTATATGACCCCACATCCCACATAGATGACTATTGAATGGGTGGTTAACCTCCAAATTATGATACAAATAGATATGCAGTCAGCACTGGCGCTAGTAGTGGTGCCCCAAAGGTCAATTTGTATTTGGATTTGGGCAACTTAGGGTACGAGTCAATGCGGATGGTACGTGGTGGATCATCAAGTGCTAAGTATGTTATATCCCTGGTTATATGTGGGATAAGTCTGGGCAATCCACTGACAATGGTTTTAACATAGTAACTAGTAACTGGGATGATCCACCAAGTATGCATGTGGCAAGCAACGACCACAAAAAAAACAACTGTCACAGCTTGCAATCTACTCGCCATTTTTTTGGACTCGAATTTCGGACCTGATCTCTCTCTCTGACCTTGTGCGATTGCTTCTTACAATCGCTAAGTCGCAGTCGCTAATCGCTAAGTTGAATTTTCCAATGATGAGTGCGGCCTTACCGGGTCCAGTCCCGGTTGCTTACACAACCGGTGGTGAAATGACATGAAATGAAATGAGATGATATAAGAATGTTGAACTTAGAAAATCGAAACTGAAACTGCAACTTGGCAACACCCCAGATCCCACAAAGGCCAATCACATTGGCTAAGCAAAGCAAAACCTCACGCTTTGCCAATCGAGCTGGCGACACTGCTGTGAACTTCGCGGGCCACATGTGACATAAAACCAAAATCACGGCTGTATAAAGAAACCAAATTCAGAATTCAGTTTGATTATGTTTTGTTTTTTTTGTGAACAAGGGAATCAGAAACATGTTTTTGAAATAGCATCACACATCCCAGAACAACATAGATAAAATTACATACAACCTTGAGCATTGCAGTGAAAGGGCCCTTAGAATTCCCGGACTCAGACTCAGTCAGTGGTTCCCACTAATAGATATCTAAGTTGTCATTCACGTTCACGACCCCTTGCAAGAAGCGGGGGCAGCATTCTCACCAAAAAAGGAGATGCCGGTACCTTTAGGCACTGGAGTGAACTTGATCGGCCGCTCCTGTGGCAGTGTCACGACATTTCCATTATGCGGATATCATATAATATAATATATCAGATACTACAAATAAATTGGGAAATAAAATATAATACATAATGTATAATATAATCTTGCTTGATATAATATAATGATATATAATGTAATACAGCAAAATATAATATGGTATCAAATCATATAATATAAAAGATGGGTGTTACATATGTTTGGTATTAAAACATATTATGTTATGTTTTGTTTTATGCTTTATTAAGTATAGATTTTTAAATATTGTATTATATTCATTTGTATTGTTTTATGTATTGTTATGGATGTCTTGTCTTATCTTATCTTATCTTAACTTATCTTACGTATTTTAAAAGATATTAAATTATATTAAGTATGATTTTTGAATATTACTATTCAACATATTATATACTATACAAAGTTTAAATATCTAATATTATATTTTATGATATTATATTATGTTATATTTTATTTTAATATTGCACAAATCTTCTTTTTTATATTATATTAAATTATATTATATTATATTAAAATATATTATATTATATTAGTTGTTATTATATTATATTATAATATTGTTTTATTTTATATTATATTATATTACATTATTTTATGAAAATTGTATTGTCTTTTTTTATATAATATCAAATCACAAATTGATTATTGTATTATTTTATATTGTAGTTATATGTTTTAATTTTTTTATTGTATTCAAATAAGTTTTCTTTATTGTATTATCTTTTATATAAGATTATATGTGTATTATATTGTATACAATTACTTTCTAACATTGTATGAGATTTTCTATATTACTTATTATTCTATATTTCCTCATTTGAAAAAATAATGTATAATCAGTAAAATATTCATTCTACCATATCATATTATATCACATTAAATCCTATTATCATATTATATCATATTATATTATCTTTCTTAACATATTGTAATTGTTTAACTGCAAGCTTCCCCCAACCAATGGAAAAACGACCCTTCAAGAGATGTCAGAGTCAAGACGAATTCAAAAAATGTCAAATGAGAAGGGCTGCGGAGAAGAGGAAATACGAGATAGGGAAAACAATCTCAAGAGAAAAAGTGCGAATAGCAAGGCTATTAGAGATGTCCCGAGTTGTTATGAGAGCGACACTTTGACATTCTATGTGTTAGTTTCTTATCTCCCAGTAGCAATAGCCTTTAGGCATACACAATTACACAATGTTTGAAACTTCCACTTCCACCACCCCCATTTAGTTTGTTATTTGTTTGTTATTTGTCACTGTTCTGTCCAGCATCCTGTACATGATCCGTCCTCAGTCCTCATCCTTCTTCCGTTTCTTCCCTGACTCCTCAACCTCTGCCGCCAATGCTTTTGCTTTTTTTGCGGGGCACTTGGGCAACGGAGAAGTTTTGTCTTTTCCTGATTTTCCTGTGGCTCTGACTTTTGGCGACGCTGCTACTGCCGGCTTAGACTTAGACTTAGACATGCTCTTAGCCGCAGTGGATTTGGCTGCTGCTGCCTTTGCCTTTGCCTTTTGCTTTGGTGCGGATTTTGGTCCCCTGCCCCTGCCGCGTCCCTTGCCCCTACCACGGCCAGGAGGATCATCACTGCTTCCGCTGCTGCTGCTGCTGTCCTTGCTGCTGTTCTCATTCTCATCCTTGTCATCATTTTTGTCAGTGGCCTTGTTTGGGCTGCTGGTCCCGGTATCATTTGCTGCTGCCGCCGCTGCTGGTGCTGCTGTGGACTCTGACTCTGCTGCCACGGTATGCATTGTTTGTTCTTGGTCTCGCTGCACATTGTTGCTGTCATGTTTTTTGGGCTCGGGCCGGCATGCTGGCGAAGTTTGCATCATCATCACTGCAATCTGCTGCTGTGGCTTCAGCATGTGGTGGCTGGTTGGCCTGTTTTGGCTCAGCATCTTTTTGTTCTTCCTCTTGGCTGGACATAATATCAATCACATCATTGTTGCAAAATGCAACTGTGTTGATAAGGGAACGGCTGTCCAGCGATTCTTCTGTTTTGACTTTCTGCTGCGGTGGAGCGGTGTTGGCATTGGTCGTCTCAGCTGGCAGAGAGGCATTGACAGTGGCAGAGTTTGTCTCTGGTGACTCTGTCTGTGCTTTGTCTGGTGAGCTGGTCTTCTCTGACTCTGGCTGTGCTTTGTCTGCGTCTGCTGCTGCATTCGCTGCTGGTTCAGTCAGTAGTGTTTGCTGCTGTGCTTTGTCTGAGCTTGCTGGCTCAGTCGTACTCGGTGACGTCTTTGTTGTTGGCTGGTCTCTGTCTGCTGAGCTGGCTAAGCCTGTCTTCACTGACTCTGGCTGTGCTTTGTCTGCGTCTGCTGCTGAGCCTGAGCCTGGCGCTGAGCTGGCATTTGCTGCTGGTTCAGTCAGTAGTGTTTGCTGCTGTGCTTTGTCTGAGCTTGCTGGCTCAGTCGTACTCGGTGACGTCTTTGTTGTTGGCTGGTCTTTGTCTGCTGAGCTGGCTAAGCCGGTCTTCACTGACTCTGGCTGTGCTGGCGCTGAGCTGGCATTTGCTGCTGGTTCAGTAAGTGGTGTCTGCTGTTGTGCTTTGTCCAAGATGGTCTTTGCTGGCTCAGCTGTAATCGGTGGTGCATTTGTCTTTGTTGGCTGGTCTTTGTCTGGTAAGCCGGTCTTCTCAGACTCCTCTGGCCCTGGCTGAGCTTTGTCTGGTGTGCTGCTGAGTGTGCTGACATTTGCATCTTCCAGTTGCAGCAATGGCTCTGTCGACTGTGCTGACTGTGCTGGCTGTGCTTTGTCTGGCTGGGCTGGTTGTGTTTCGTCGTCGGGTGGGCTGCCATTTGCTGTCAAAGGCAATGGTTCGACTGCTGGCAATGTTTCGGCCAGCGATGGCTGTGTGTTGTTTGATTTGTTTGTCTCAAGTTTGACCAAGGGTGCTGGTGCGAATGACTTGCCAGTTGCTTTGCCACTTGACATTGATGGCCATGTCAGTTTGAACTCGATTTTCTTTTCTTCAACATACGTCAAGAAATTGACAAGATCTTGACGTAAATCAGGTGACTCAGCAGTCAAAACCTGATTCACAAAATCATCATCATCCAACCCGAACTCATTTATCGCCCATGCGACATAGCCAGGGAAATGTGTCCCTTCTCGGATCTGACGACAAGTTGTCAGCACTTCATCGTCACTGAACTCATCAATCGTAACAGAGGCTGTGCCGCCACCTGATTCCGGTACTTTTGCCAATTGCCCGAGAGTAAGTTGCTCATCCTGGAGGTGTTAGAAACCGACTAAATCCAAATCCCAATATTGCCAAATTTACTGTCTCACATACTGCACTGCACACCACAAACAGTAAGCCATATATATGCACCTAAATGTTTCTGTATGTTTCCCTACATTGCTGGAGTCCTTGTCATCCGCTGAAATCTCTTTCTTCGTGATACGCTTGAGGTGAGGCATCTTCTCGTACACTTCCAAGGCAACCTTTCGCAAATCACAAAGTGATGCTGTTGTGATGCATCCTAAAGGAATCCTTTTACCATGTGACAACAATTCCCAATATAATATTAATGGTGGCTGTTGTAAGGAAAAGAAACATCTTCATTTTCATCCCCCCCTAGAATATGCAACCTGGCCTTGAGTTGGGTTTCCAAATGTTTTTGAGAAGGTTCACAACACTTGTTCAAGACCGATTTCACATAGGCACCGGAAAAGCGGCAAGATTCAGCAGAGCAATGGTACTCTGTCAATGCCACCCATGTCAAAGATTGGTAGATATTACGACTCTCAGGCTCTCCAATGTTGAATTCGGCAACCACACAACATTCCCGAAGCCACAGGAAATCCCCTTGTGTCAAGCAAACACAGACTCCGCCCGCTGCATGAAAAGTATCGCCATCCATTGACATCATATGCTGCGAAAGGGCCCCTATAGTTGGTGCAGTGCTTTCGGAAGTAGCAACCATGCTTGCTGACAAGCTTTGGAAAGGCACAGCAAACACGACTTTGGACCCGGATATCTGAAATTTTGCTACTGGTGCCATCAAATCTGTGACAGAAGCACATGTCCACGTAGTCTTCGTGTACCGCATCTTCATGGAAAAAATCCTTAGTTCAGTTTGCAAATCAAATTCAATGCCGGCAGGCAGCCGGCCACTGGAGATCAATGGAATATAAAAGTCATATGAGATTATATGTCATATGATCTAGGTTCAATATCTTGACTTGAGCCCACACTTTTTGTGTTGTGATCGAAGTTGGTTCTAACTTCTAACTGATCAGAATCTAAGTTTAAAATCTAAAAGCAAACAAGCTTCTTTGTAAGATCAGCCTGACACTTGAACTCCGCCAAGTTCTCCTTGATAAGCGATGAACCAGCAAGTGTGAAATCCAATGCTTTAAGTTCAGCATCGGAAAATACCTTAGGGCGATACAGGCGACGGGCCCAGGAGACCAGATCCACTCGTTTTTGGTACCCTGCTACTCCTACCACAGCAAACCGGTAACAGCACCTGGGCACCTGCGGTTAAAAAAAAAACATTGTGTGAAAAACAAATTCAATACCAAAGCAAGATTAAGTTTCCTGCTCCCCGCATGGAAAATCAATGTCACGTCGTTGCCTAACCTCCCGCAAAGTGTCGGCCCGCAATTCGTCTTCCATAGCAGGTCTGGGAAGAGCACCTAGATTGGGAAGAGGCAAGTCCCTGATACAGTAGGCACACGTTGTTGGCTTTCCTGCATTTGAAGGGCCATGCCCGACCACTACTGATCCACTCTCATAGTGACCGTTGGCCAAGTTGTCCGGTGTCATCAAGAACGACTCCATGAAAGATTTCATCAAGGGGTATTCAGCAGGCAAATCTTTCAGGAAGCTAGGAATGTTGTTGAGCCCCACAGCATCCTCTCCCGCGGAACCCTCATCGTCAACGGCCTCATCTTCCAGTGCACCTAAGCGAGCGAGCCAAATTAATTCAAACCCAATACCTAACTCCCTGGGATGTGTCAACATGGTCATAACTGAACAATAACCAAACTAAACCAAACCATTTTGTTTTATTTCACTCTTGAAACTTCAAATATGTTTCAAAAGCCACATACAATGCAAAGTACAAGGAACCCACTTCTTCCCTGTGGACTTCATTCAGCCGATCACTTGCATTGGTCAAAGCCTGCATGTATCCTTGAAACTTTTCCCTGCATGACTTTAACAAAGTAGTACTCAAACTAGACCCATCGCCGTGGACATCAAGCTTCATCTTCTTGGTGTTGGGAGAGAGGCTTGATGGAGATATGTCCGGTAGAACAAAGGCTTGAAGTTGATTCCATCTAACCTCCACCAGAGACCGATGATCAAACAACTCAGTACTAGCTGATGTTGCAGCAATCTGCTGCTCGATGTCGGCCTGCAGGCCCTTGACTTGATCGACCTTAGTGAAAAATTGGATGGCTCACGACGACGCGAAAGCTTTGGAAACAACCAATTGGGCGCGTCACTAAACAAAATCATATCAAGAATCAAGAAACGTACAAGTCAAACTAAATAATGTCACGCTACAAAATTGTTTTTCATCACGATTGCCTGACGCTTCAAATCAATCTGGTGCAATTCGTCATCTCCCTTTCGTTTTTTGGCGGGTTGGGGTGTCGATGGCTCTTCCTTTCTGGTGGCACCTTTGGCTTTGGGTTTGGCTTTTGCGCGACCTTTCCCAGCACCACCAACATTCATGATGGCCAGAGGCTTTCCAGAACCAGGAGTCTCGGGCATGTTCTGCAAGTGATTGAGGCCTCATGTGCCCAAGTTTAAGTTTAAGACTTCAAAATCTTTAAGATGATCAACGATACCAACCGTCAATTTAAGGATCCTGTCGCAAGTGTTTGTCATTGCCACAACTGAACATGATAAGTTGATAAGCCTCTTGCGAGACAGATCGAATGTTCTGGATTCTTGTTGAAGATCAGCTGAATCAATGACACCTCAGAATGAAATCGGACCACAGGCCACTGGCCACACCCCAAAAGGCGTGCTGAAGTGACTGACTGTAGCAAATATCAAAAAACTCAACCATATTTTAGCTGTTGATAGGCAAGCAACGGGAAAATGTGGATGCAACATCATCCGTCTCAACATCACGACCAGTCGTCACTGCAGCTTGACTGGACAATTTGCGACCGTTGGAAGCTGTGGTGACAGTGAGAAGGGAAACAACTGGAGTATTGTATTCATCCCTGCTCCAGACAGCCTTAGGATTGCTGTGTGCAAGTTGCCACTCATTCTCATAATCCTGGTCAGTCCAATCATACCGCTCTTTCAAGGTCGAAATGAACCTCAGTGTGACAATGACAGCAGTCCCAGTCCCATTAGAAACTTTGAAAGCAGTAAAGAGGCCATGTTAGTGAAGTGAGTCATTCGTAAAAAAAAGCAAAAGGTATTCATGTTCGACAAGAAACTTCTTCTTCGTCATAAATGGTCGGTCAGCTCGAATCCCCAGAGAATCTTCGCATGATGCTGTCTCAAAAACATGAACTGTCCTCCTATGTCCACGTCCTGACCCTTTGTCTTTGTTTGCAACCACCATCTCACGTTTTTGTTCCCCAGTCATTTGATCCCATACCTCTGCCCGACCAGCGCTGTCATACCACTTGCGGCATGCTTTCCGACTGGCATGACACTTCTTGCACCTACGTGTCTTGCAGCGGATACCGCCGCATGCGATGGTATCCACCAGCTTGATCAATTCCTCACAGTCAACGCACCTCAGAAAGTCAGAAATAACATATGTGTCCAATACAAAGTATAGAGTGGTGTGTCTTGGTTTCCCATTGCGCATATAAAACAATAATGTATGCATCCAAACGGCTCTACTTCTTTGCTTTTGTCTTTGTCATCCTGGTCATCTTTGGATTTCTTGTCTTTCTTGTGTTTCTTATCTTTCTTTTTCTGATCTTGGCTCTTCTCTTCTGCTTCTCCCAAGACTGCCTCTATATCGGGAGCCTCGGCTGCCTCTGTCGCGACTGCCACTGTATCCTTATCGGATTGATGCTCATCACCACTGTCCCCTTGGCTACACTGACTGGCCATTGGGTCACAGGAAGTCAATGCGAATGATTTGAACAAGTTCACCTGTTTGGCTCAAAAAAGCTTCGCAACAAACAAATTGGTTGGTAATAGCATGAGCTGGAGACAGGTGCTCATGGACGTAGGATGTTGCAAACATGTTCTCACACTGATCGAAAAAGTCAGCTGCAAACGATTTGGTTCGCAATCTCTATCTCTTGTTTGTGTTGTGACCTGCAACATGTGGACGTTAGGATTTGAACAGCAAAAACCGTGATCAATTTAACCAATTCTGATGAAAATATCAACAGTACGTAATAATCAACACAAACATGCCATCACCAACACATCCACATGAATCACTGAGACGCAAACATTCCTGAATAATTGATGCTGACACCGGTGACATTGATGCAAATCAATAAAATGCTATGAGCCTAAGATTTGCCTAAAACTTTCGTGGTTGTCCATACCAGCATCCATCAGCTATGAGTCGTGAGCCATCTGAGATTACCCCAAAATATTTCACAACTTGAAACTTGAATTGTCATTTCTGCCTTTGGCAGAAGAACAAAGCATAGATACACGCCCTGCCGATTGCAGCAGCGTGCATAGAATTCCCAGCAAGCTTACCTCAGCCCAAGGTGTGTATAATGTGCATGTTATTGTTTAGCACTTGCGTGAAGTCAAGTGAACAAGAAATAACACACTCTAGTGACTCTTGTGTCTAGCCTACAGTCAAGAGACTCATAGCTTTGTGGGATAACTCTCCCAGCTGCGTGACCCGCATCCCCATTTGATGTGCCATACGAGGTTCCACACCCAGCCCGTGTGCGAAAAGCAATTCCATTCCATCTGAGGAAAAGCGTGACACATGAACACGTACAAAAAAAATGAAGTTCAACTAAGGTCCACAGCAAATCTAAGAGTTGGAATCTTACAAACCGGGCATTCACGATTCACGAGCTCCTAGAAAGCTGAGAATATTATTTTCAAAGTGCGGCACCCTTGATCTTTGGACCATTCGGTTTAACCTCATTGCTTAGTAGAACTTTAAACCGCTTTTTTATAGCAGTGCTATGACCACTACCAAAATTGTACAACATCATAACATCTTGGGAAGACTGAGGCCATGTCGAATTGTTCGGTTGAATGAAGTAGAAAAGATTGAGCCCACCCCGGTCGTCAGTGTCTGAAGTATGCCATTCTTGTTAGCCATGCGAGGTCTGCATTCTGGGTCTTGGTCAGTATCGTAAGCAAGACGTCCGGGATATTTCTCCAAATATCCATTCAGCCCTTAGTTAGCTGAGTGTACATATAATAGAGAAAAAAATCTGAATGTTTGAGTTGATACGGCAATTGGTGAATTCTGAATTGGTGAATTCTGAATTGATACAAACAACTGGGGCCAATACGTTTCTGTTTCGGAATGCTCAAACTTGTCATGGTGTCGGTGTCATCAAGTTTGCGATGAACCAGAAACATATCCAGGGTGTTGCAAGGACTAAGATCCATCTGTAGCATAGAGACAATCTCAGAAAAATCCTTCGTCTGCCTGCGGTCGGGAAGGTTATGTACCTGTGACCGACCTGGTCTGCACTGAAAACTATCATTGTTTGTTTGAAATAAAATCCAAACACAACCAGACCTGATGGCACTTCTCAATGTGAAAATGCAATAGCGTCTTGGTCGTTCTACTGGTACTCCACAGTTTTGGGCAGGGCTCACACATGCATGGGTTGCATCATAGTCATCTTAGCTGCAAGGCTGAAAAGGAACTGGATTGGGCTTAAAGTAATTGACGGTTGAAAATCACTACAAGCACCACATAGTTACATAAATAGGCTCCGCACCTGACAATAGGTCAATGATCACATCTATCGGGAAGTTCATCACATTTTCGTGAATCAACATGTGTGGTAAGGATTGTTTGATGCTCTTGATGAAGAGGATCAGGAAGACAACTGTAGGTCCATTCAAGCCCCGGCCACTTCCAAACATTGAGTAATCCTGAGCTGGGTACATACAATTATCATAAAGTCAATCTTGAAGATTGATTGATAATCCAAACACAATGGGCTAAGGCTTTGTCAACACAAGGAGAACCAGCAATAGCAACATGGAGATCATCTCCTTTGGCCGGACCAAAGAGCCGTCGACATTGCTTCCCACATTTTTCGCACCTAAGCAACATCAACCAACCCTCCAAAACTATTACCTGTGCAAGAATGTATCAATAAGCAAAAGAATAAGCATCTCACATATCAAACTCATTCAACTTGACCTTCTTCGACATAATCTTTGTGTAGTCCAAGAGTTCTTGGAGAGAACGCCTGCCACAGACTTTTGGTGTGTGCGCTAGACACTTCAAAGTGTCTAACTGAATGTTAGACACTTCAAAGTATCTAACATTGCGTTTTTTAGACCATGTTAGACACTTTAAAGTGTCTAACAAAAAAATAGAAGTGTCTAGAAGTGTCTAACAATACTAAAAGTCTTACATAGAGAAGTGTCTAGAAGTGTCTAACATTTTTGTTAGACACTTCTACCCCATTGTTAGACACTTCAAAGTGTCTAACAAGTGAATGTTCGATATGTTAGACAATGTTAGACACTTTGAAGTGTCTAACTTTCGTCATTTAGTCTGTCTTTTGTCTTTTGTCCAAATGGTTTACATTTGGCTGACTGTTTGTCCAAAAACACTATCATCAAAACAATTTCGTGATATTCAACACATAATGTCCTGAAACCTTGACAAACATGTGTTTAAAAGATAAACTTGGTATATTGGTGCAGTCTGTCGCAAGCAAACATAAAAATAAATAATATTTATATATATATATATATATTCATATATATATATATTATCCTCTCAAGTTGCTTCAACCCCCCTTGGGGACCATTTTAGAACCCAAATATGGGTTCTAAAATGGAATCTACAAGGGGGGTCTTAGAACCTAAAATTGTTGGCCACTATTCCGTTTTTGGGTTCTAAAATGGGTTCTGAAATGGTATCTTCCACCCTTAAAAAAATCATTAAAAATCATCCAAAACTTTATATACTCGATTATGCACTGAAAAAAAAAACTGGAGATGGTTTGAAGCACAAAAACATGAGTCACAAAAAAGGGGCGTGAGGTAATCCATGGACATGGGGCTGGATCCTTCTGTTTAATTCTGTTCAGAAGTTGGGTAGGTGTGAAGGCTGTGGCACTGAAGAAGACAGAGCTTGAAGGCCATTTGCGCGCCTAGTTAGGGTCTGGGTTCTGGTGTGGTTTGATTGACCAGTGACTTTCACGAGCTACATTCCACCATTCCTGAACAAAAAATGAGAAAGGTATTTGTTTGGGCAAATGTTTCCACCTTGGTGCCGTTTTCAACTTTGAATCCAATCAAGGTGTCCCTCAGCCTGGATGTTCTGAAATGGTTTCCATCAGGGTTTTGAGGGGTTTGTGACCTCCAACTTGGGTGTAAACCATGTTAGAACCCTGTTTTGTGTTAGGGGTTGGAAAGGGGTAAGAGGGTTCAAAAGTGTAATTCCTCAAAGATATTTGTCCAATTCTTTCCCCACAAAATTATACAAAAAAAAACATCCCAAAATCATACACTGGAAAGATGGTAAATGATTTTATCTTTGTTTCATTTTCATCCATGTTCAACTTTGGATCCAATCAAGGGATGTTCTGAAATGGTTTCCATCAGGGTTTTCAGGGGGTTGTGACCTCCAACTTGGGTGTAAACCATTTTAGAACCCAGACCTCTGCCAGGGAAGAAAGAATCCAAAGAATCGATGCCTTCTGGGGAAGAGCAGTCCAAAGGCTGCTTGGGGATGAGATTTGATAGGGCTTGGGGTAGCTGTTGTGAGATCAGATGCAAGTCTCATCAAACTTTCTTTGAACACATTGCCCACAATGATTCAAAATGGTTGTTCTGGAAAGATGGTAGATGAGTTTTTTTCTTTCATTTTCATCCATTTTCAACTTTGGATCCAATCAAGGGATGTTCTGAAATGGTTTCCATCAGGGTTTTCTGGGGTTTGTGACCTCCAACATGTGTGTGTAAACCATTTTAGAACCCTGTTATGTGTTAGGGGTTGGAAACGCGTAAGAGGGTTCAAAAGTTTATGATATTTCAGCATTTGTCTATAATGCCAACAGTTTGTTTGGAAACACATTGATCTGGAATGTCCCTTTTTTTTCTGGTGGAGAGGAGGGAAGGGTTCTAGAATGGTTTCCTTCATGTACCAACGTGTGATTCAACATCTGTGGCTCATGGATTCCATTTCAGAACACATAGATGTAGTTCTATACACAGAAGGTCAAATAAAATCAAATAAGGCCTTAACAACGTTGCAGAGAAATACAACTATTTAGTTTTTCTTTATGATATTTCAGCATTTGTCTATAATACCAACAGTTTGTTTGGAAACACATTGATCTGGAATGTCCCATTTTTTTCTGGTGGAGAGGAGGGAAGGGTTCTAGAATGGTTTCCTTCATGTACCAACGTGTGATTCAACATCTGTGGCTCATGGATTCCATTTCAGAACACATAGATGTAGCTCTATACACAGAAGGTCAAATAAAATCAAATAAGGCCTTAACAACCTTGCAGAAATACAGCTATTTAGTTTTTCTTTTTGATATTTCAGCATTTGTCTATAATACCAACAGTTGGTTTGGAAACACATTGACCTGGAATGTCCCATTTTTTCTGGTGGAGAGGAGGGAAGGGTTCTAGAATGGTTTCCTTCATGTACCAACGTGTGATTCAACATCTGTGGCTCATGGATTCCATTTCAGAACACATAGATGTAGCTCTATACACAGAAGGTCAAATAAAATCAAATAAGGCCTTAACAACGTTGCAGAGAAATACAACTATTTAGTTTTTCTTTATGATATTTCAGCATTTGTCTATAATACCAACAGTTTGTTTGGAAACACATTGATCTGGAATGTCCCTTTTTTTCTGGTGGAGAGGAGGGAAGGGTTCTAGAATGGTTTCCTTCATGTACCAAAGTGTGATTCAACATCTGTGGCCCATGGATTCCATTTCAGAACACATAGTTTTAGTGCTACACTACCTTTAGCCAAGGGAGACCGTTCAACACTATTTCAAGCATAAAACATAGTCGCGAGATATATACTTTTTCATTTTTTTAAAGGGCCGACCTCCCTGTATGCTATGACTGGTGTTTCCCTACATTAAGTCCTGCAGTAGTGACATCAACGGTCAGATTGCCCATTGGCAGGACGCATTGAAAGCTTTGATCAGTCTGAACAAGGAGCACCAACAGGAAGTGGAGGCAACGAAGAAACGTAGAGTGACGACAGTCAAACTCATCCAGCCGACAATCGAAAACTTTCGGCGAAACAAAAAAGGTCAAAAACTGATTGCACAGGAGCTGTCACGCCTCTTGACAGGGGTAAAGGCAAAGGGTTAGATACTTTATGTGCATATCCCCTTAATTTCAAAATATTTCAAAATTATGCCTCGTTAATTCGGGGTGACGTCGTGACGTCGAATTAAATCGTACAGATACATCATCATATGGTATTATAATATATTAAAAAAAAAATATATAAATATATTATACTGTATTATACAAGCTTCCAGGGTTCTACAATGCTTACGGGACCGGGGGTTCTACAATGAAAAAAAATCATTCTAGAACCCTCCGTGTTTATACCCAGGGGGGGGCATTCTAGAACCTTCCAACTTGAGGGTATTATATATTCACATATATACTTATTATCCTACATACTACCTCATATATATAAATATACAGTATACACAGGCAGCCACATGCCAAAGCCTTCTGGTAACCGACAAAGTCAACCGCTTGGTTGGCACTGATGATGCTGCAAGTTCCTCCAGCACACATGAGATAGATACTGAAGTAGAGACTCAAATAGAACTTGTTGATTTGATTCAATGATTTCCTTCGCATAAAATTAGTCCGCCAAAGTTTGAAAGCAACTCAATAAATGGAAGCATTCGACAAATCGCGAAATGCCATAAACAGAAGCATCGTCACCTCATATCTTTTCAAAGTTACTGTTCTCCAGTTGGTTTACCAAAGATGTTCAAAAGGAAAAAAGGTTCAAGTACATCATAGTTGAACCTATTTATTTTCCCGCCAAGTTTTAATCATTCGGAACATTCGAAACTCATAGCTGTGAAACAAACCCTTCAAATAAGCACTCAAATAGTACACGTGATTTTTTATCCTTGAGGGCCATGTTGAGATCTCCACGACAAGATAACTCTGCATCTTTGGGAATGCGTCCAATTGGAACTTTCAATCCACCTTAGATGAGACATGATTGAAAGGAAACGATCATTCAAAAAACAGCGCATCTTTGAATGGTTTGCAATATTCTTTCATCACATCCTAGCCACCTTTTGCGTAGAACATACCATCAACCTCTCTTTTTATGGCTTTCTTGGATGGCTTTGCTGTAAGCTTCAGTGCAGACAGTAGCTCCGATGTAGTGATGATCACCTTCCAAAAAACAAGAACATAACAAAACATACGGACATCGCTACGTACAACAATGACTGATAGCTAGCAAACTGTCGAATGGAAAAAGAAAACTATATGGCCTTTTCATGAAGTGGTTCCAATAGTTTATCCCGCAACTTGCTGTCCGCCAACGTCATAATGTCTCCAAAGCGACATGCTTCGGTGTTGTTCAGGCCACACATATACCGTGCAGATGAGCACCAATCCCCTATCGATTCACATTTGACCGTCATCTTGTCGACACAATTTGCAAAATGACAATTCCACATGGCTGCTGTTGCAGCCATAGATTCTTCTGCTGTACCAGCCCCTGAAAATTCTGTGCGTAGCTTGATGCATGAGGCAATTGGTTTCAAATCATCAACTTGTTTCAAAGGTGTAACAACCCTCATATTCCATGCTTGCTGTTTTGCAACTTCAGGGGTTGCCAACATTGCACACTCATCTTCGTGACGCGAAGCCGCACTTGGTGCATCATCATCAACTCTCCTGGCAAGACAACGGGTGCACAAACCCCCCTAAGTGGCAACAAGCTAGTTGGGTTGGGTTGCATATGTAATATTTAAAAAGGTATCGCATTCAAATGTCAATGTCAAGCTAACTCATTTATAAGTTATATGTTAGTGATTTGTTTTTGCACTGAGCAAGAATTGTAACGCCAAGCCCAAAGTCCAAAGTATAAAAAAACAATCAGGCCTTCTCTTCGATTCACGTTCTGTGGCAATGCCCTGCTGCCTTTTGACATTCAAGGAACACACAAAAAAGGACTACTTAAACATCTGGCCGATGGACATGCTGCTTGTAAACTGTGAAAACTTAGACCCTGACGGTGACAGTTGGAAATGATGCGCATCGTCAAGGGAGTCATCATCCATCTTGTGAAAGCACTTGTCAGCTAAATCACACCAGCAGCAAACTGTACAGTGCAAAAGATAGCTTGAACAAAAAGGTTCAGATTCGATATCCGAATTTCACAGGAATTTACAAGCAATGGCACAGTATCAGATTGCAAGTTTCTTCCCGTTAGCTGAAACTTGGATAAGAAAAACACATCATAGCGATGATTTTTTCCATGTGACAGCCAAATTTGGCCGTGCCTGTATGTCTTAAAGCGGTGCAACTGATCTGCCTGCGGCATAGTCGTTTAGAACAGAAAAATAAAGCGCCAGAATCGCATCTGCCGCGCTTCTCCTCCTAGTGTACACATCATATTTGCCCCAGAATGTGTTTCCATCTGCGGCGCACTTGTCTAAGGCTTCGTTCACAAGGTCTCTGGGAGGTCTCAAACGGTTGGCTGGTTCCCTAAGTAAAGCAAGGAGAGGAGGCAAAGCGTTGTCGACAATGGCATCCCGGAACATGCTTCTCCTGGGAAACAAAACATTCCATGGTACGTCTTCCCTAATGGGCTGAACAACTTCAGCTGGTTGCTCCAGCTCAATACCTTCAGCATTTTGCTGAACAACTTCAGCTGGTTGATCCGGCTCAATGCCTTCAGCATTTGGATCATCATCGACATCACATTCGGCATCCTGTTCATGTTGAACATTTGCATCATCATGCACATTGTCTTGGACAATCTGACCGGAAGCTTGTGAAACATATTCAAAGTGCTCTGTGGATTCTGGTTCAACCGGGCCAGTCTCACTGCTTGAATCCGAGATGGTATCAACCACATCACTCCCTCAGGGGAAACTTGAAAAACACGTGAAGCACGATTTATTTTCCCTTGGCCTAGCTCTCCTTTATATTCACAGTTCAGACACCCCAGGTTCGTGTTGTAATTAAACCCCTAACAAAACCTGCCTGCTGCTGCAAACGGGCCAGCACTTAATCGGTCCCAGAAAACTGCATGCACAGGCTGCACAGGTTCGTGTTGCAATGCTGTACGAGTTTCCTCATCAGACTCCCCACTGGAAACCACATGTACTTCTTGGTCTTGTTGGTGCCTAGTCTGGGTCGAAGATTTCGCCTTTGGCTGGACTCTCACCCTTCTCCTCTTCCTGGAGAAGCTTTGGAGACCCATGGGCAAACCACAAATCGAACTTAGCTTAATGTGAACAAGTATTTGTTGAATTATTTGCCCGTCCTCCCCCCCTCTAATACAAACTGAAACTTGAAACATTGTTCAGAACGAAACAGTCCTTGCACGCCCCTCAGTGTTGCTTTCTCGTGGGTCATTGACAATTTCACCACACAGGTATTTGTTCAACTGCACATAGAAAGCAGCTTGTTGGTAAGGTGGAATTTCAACGATTTCTGTGGGAAAGTGAATCATTGCTGCCTCAAAAGCCATGTAGTATTTGTCAATCTGACGGTGATGAAACCAGCCCTCATCCTCATAGTAGCGTAAGCCGTCGTAATAGTGAAAGACTAGTGAGTAGTAGGTTTTCGGGTTGTCCCGCAGCAACTTTTTTGAATGCAAATTTGCCAAATCCAATTTGTTCACAAATGTCCAACCATTGTCTTTCATGTGCGTCTGGATTTCCAATGTACTTGTGGTATCTCGAAGTTGTCTTTCCAAAACGGCATTGCTAATGGAAAGACCGTGGTTGACTACCTCACGTGACAGTGTGATCTCCCCTGTTTGAAAGATGTCAATAGCCCCTGCAGTGTGGAGCCATTTCACAACCCTTCTGTTTGTGTTGTCAGGTAAACGACCTGAATTTGACAATGCAGTAGTGCAAACTTGGAAAGCTTCTTCAACAACCATCGCATCAACAGGTCCACAGGAACCCCCACCCTCGCCATCATCCAAATCATCCACTGTGCTCCCATCAAGAAGAGACGATGATAGCTGCAAAACTGGTTTAACCTGCAGGGATACTTTTTGGTCATTTTGGAGTTATTGTTGAGCCAATGTTAGGCAATTTTGGGTCATAAGTCTCTAAGATCTAAGGGTCTGAAACAACCCCAACAAAAAACTTTGGGGTTGGATTTGGTGTCTAAGTCTAAGTTGGACCAATGTTGCGCCATTTGGGTTCTATGTTGGACCCGCATTGGGGCTATGTTGGGCTCTTGTTGGGTTATTTGGTGGGCTATTCTTGTAGAGAAAAAACAATCCAACCTTATAGTTCTTTTTGGGGGGGCTGCCCCCGAAGCCCAAGTTGAACTGTTGAACCTGCCTCCGTGAATTCTCTCAATTCCAACCAGCGACTATTCTCGAAAAAAAAATCACAGACACCGGCTCAATAGAATTTTGAAAAGACGTCATAGGTTGCAGCCGCATTTCAGTTGACCCATCAGCATATTCTCCTTCAACAGTCCCAAGGATGTTGATCGCCACAGTGTTCGCCCAATCCTTAGGAAAGCAATGGCGGCCATGTGAAGACAAAACTACCCAAGTTTGCTACCTTTGGTTTTGACAGTCCCTATGTATTCGTACATCTTGACTATTAGCGCATCGATTCTGATTCTGCAAGTTTGTTATTCACACTTCAATGTATGTGTATTGCGCTCATTGCCCGACATCAACTTGACAAGCTCCTACTACAACCCAAAAATGATTTGTTTTAAAATTCAAACGTATGACAAGACCTACCTCATCCCTTTTCAAAACAAGAATGATTAGCACGATTTCCTTTGGAAGGGTTTCAGCAGTGTTCTTTGATTCTCTCCTTCAGACCACTCCCCAATCCAATATCAACCTTTTTTTTTCACGCAGCAATTTTCGAAGTTGGTGGTAGCTTCAAGGATACGGGGAAGATCTGGTTTGCGAAAAGAAATTCATCTCGCGGGGGATCGGTCCCCATTTGACATCATGTGAAATTCCTTTGCCCGGATCATCACTTTTCACTGCTGCTCTTGGCTGTGAGTGTTGTCCCTGTCGAATCTTTGCAAAGAAGTCCATAGTCCCTGGCTGAATAGGGAAAAACTTGATGCTGTCACCGTCGCCATCATTCGTTCTGTCCACAGGCCCATCAGAACGCAAGGCCATGTTTTGAATGCTTGGTTCAGTTCAGCTAAACTTGGAATTTGAAACTGCAATCCACTCACAGCGTGTCTCTTGAGCCAAACAACAGTAATAATTGTTATTCTTGGTGGTCTAATTTTTGTGTGTGAATCAGATTCCAGCACTGAATCCAACACTTCGTAAGAACATTGCACTGGGGGCTCGTGGCCTCATGGCTGGTGTATGACTTTACTACTAAACCCTTTATGTGATGTGTTTGCCCCATGATAATATTCCTTCGTATAGCAGTGTACTATCCCATAATATACACCATTTCCCCATCCACTTGTGATATTCCCATATTCCATGGTGTATGAAGTTTATATATAATGTATTCCAGGGTGTATGCCATCATTTTTCAAGCTCTTCAGTTTCCCAACTCTGACCGCAACCACGCCAGACCCAGCTAGATTTCGCCCAGCGTCATCCTTTGCAAGAGCAAAAGCTCTCTGAAGATAACTTCTACGGTCTGGGTGGAGCGACACAATTTTGAAGACCAAAAATTTGTTGGCTGCTTCAAGAGATGGTAAAGCATAGATTCCGGTAGCAGAGTCTGACTTCTTGCTGTTCTTGAAAACCAGCTGCAAATGCTCCATTTGAATTGGTGCCTAATATTTTGTTTGCAAACAATGTTTTTCCCATATGAAAAAGCAGAAAGCAGAAAACCATAATCATTAACATGTAACAAAAACAATAACAATTGTCAGAATCAAAACTCAAAACCCACAATACTGAATTGAAGCGTAACCATGTTACAAGCTTGGGTGCATCCGGCACTGAACCCAAGCTGTCTGTCAACGCAGCATGCCGGGCCATCCGCTGTTCCTCGAATGTTGTATCAGGATGCAGTTGGCTGAGCCCATATCCATAAACAATTTCAAGCAGCTGCTTCCGTGAATCCCACGGTTCCGGCACCAATTCTGAAAACCGATCCAACAACTGTGGGAGAAGCTGCTGAAAGGCTGGGTGCTGAACGTCACAGTTCATGCGCCTTCTCAGGTTGGACATGGTGGCTGCTGGGCTAGACGCTCTTCCGTGAGTCAACATAAGGTTAACCAGGTGGTGACGTGCCTCTAAACGCTGCATCACACACAGACTTGTTGCATACCCCAACAGCATCTGTTCAAGGTCTCTTGGCAACTTACCACCATGAATCCACTGTAGCAATCGGCTCCTGTTGTGGTCGTTGCCAAAGAAATGCCAAGCTATCATTCCCAAAGAAGTCTTGTTGGTCGACGCATCGAACTCAAGCATGAGGCTTTCTGCTTGTGCTCGGGACAATGTCTCTGCAACAAGTGGCGGTACCAGGGGTTTTGCCATTTGCAAGAGACTAAACGGCATTGAATCCCAAAACGACCACGCTTGCTGAGATCGAAATACCATGGTGGACCGGCAGTCTTGAAAGTCATGCAGCAAGCGTGACGCAAATGACTTCAAATCTTGGTTGCCAATGTTCTCCAATTTGGAAATCTCATTGAGAGCAGCAGGGGTCAGCTTTAAACCACTTAGCGAATCAGTGAGACCACGCCACGCTCCGGCAGCTAGTTCCACTGCCCGACGACCTTTCAATCGGCACTGCTGTTTTTCCTTGTCGGACTGATGATGGGTACAGGCACAGCTGTGGAACCAGACGCTTGTCGAAACTCCCCAATCACTCAAGCATTGCACTGTCAAACATGTGGCCCAGAATTTCACGCCATCTGGTGAATTCACATCGGCTATTTCTGCTATCATGTCCAGCTCATGTTGTGACAACTCTTTGCTCCCAGATGCAAATGTCGGGTCAGAAAGCAGGAAAGCAAAAGCATCCTTCCGTCGAACTATCCACCGAAGACTTTCGTACCTTGGGTTGCAGCCACCAAAGCAGGAAACAGCAACCGAGCTGTTGAAGATTTTTGGCAAAACAAACGTTGGCATCAAGTGATATGGCAAGACACACGTACTGCCATCTTTGGGAATAGAGCACTGGACACGTTGTCAGAAACATTGATGCAAAACTCGCCTTGAGTCTACTGTCCTTGGAATCATTCTATCACTCATTGTGTTTCATTGTGAGGTTGCGAACACATGCAAACTTTTTTTGGAATGTCGTTGCAAAAGAATTTGCCAATGCTGGCACTTGCCCCAGAGCAAGAAAAAACATTGTTATCGTCACCGTCATCACCCTCACGAAACCAACTCTGCAAAACCAAAACAGTACAGCTACTAAAATCTGCATGCGGCCGAACGGCAGTGATGTTTGGATTTTGGTCAATGCAGATCCTACTGAAGCGGCTGCACCTTCCACTGTTGGAGAAGAACAGCGACAGCGCATGCAGCCGTGGCTCAAAATAGTCGCTCCAAGAGAAAAACGATTCCAAACTTTCCATCACCTTGGCCCATGACCCCGGCTGGCTGTGCAGGATGTGCCGGCATAATAGGCCCTAGGTCATGTATCGCTATGACTTTGATTAGGTATCAGTTCAGTTCATCATTATTGATTCGTGCGGGGGTAAGGCAGAATAAAATCTATAAAATTTGAAAAACCTAAAATAGTGAAAAACATCTAAACTCAAAGAAAGCACATGATGGAGAGCATGATCAGCATCCGGCAGCGGCAATGCAAGGCCAAATAAAGTTTCGAATGGCAACTTGTCTTTGATAAATGTTGCAGGGGATTTCCAGACATGGGACTCTGCACCCCAATCGAATAGAAACGACAAGCATCGGCAAAGAGTTCCGGCAAGAGATTCACTTTCCTGAATGGGCAATGCAATACCTGGACCTACAAAACCTCAATGTCAATGCACAATTATGCACAATTAAAACACAAAATATTGTATCATATAACCTAGCATGTCACAACTCAAAACAAGAATCGAGGGCAAGTTGGTGAAGAAGTTTCTTGGTTTTGATGACGACACCAGATGCCCGTGAACCGAGTGTTTGCCCAACCAAAAGCCTTGTGTATAAGATTCCAGGTGTTGCAACGTCTTGCCATGTTGTCACACGCTCTGGATAGAAAATGTCTGCTTCACTCATAAAGTAGTCTTTGCCATATTGCAAACTTGCATCAAGTCTGCGATGTATGAACCACGGTGTGCTTAAATTCAACCGATGAGACCTCGCAAAGAGCATAGTGGCAAGGTCGAGCGTGATACGATAGCTGTAAAGCGAACTTTTCTTCGGGACTGAAAAGCCCTCAGCTGACTGAGGTTCAAACCCAGAAACAACCAGTGGCAGTAGAACATTAGAACATAACATAGAAATATTTTTATATTCTGGAATCTGAGTGGTTGTTGAAACGTGAGTTTGTTTAATTTAGTTTTGCTTTGTCATCATGAACTTCCGGAACTTCCCCCAAAACCCACCAACCAAATTTAACAAAATAAATACCAAATCAAACCAGTTATTGATATTTCAATGCCGCCGACCAGCCAACCAGCTTCCGAGCCAAGGCACTTGTAGGTGGATATGGTTGCAAAGTTCCTCAGATAGCACCATTGCGAAACTCCTTGGAAGTCGGGGCTTGGGGTTGCAATGCGCAACAACGGACCCACATGTCTAAGGGAAACTTCAGAAAAGTGAAATCCAAAACATTCCAAAACTAAAACAAGTAGCTCTCTCATTGCATCACCCATATCGTCCAGCACCGTAAGACGGTCAGAAAGTAAAACTGCGTTCAACATGTAAGAAGGTAGGTACTCACTCCCTCCTCGTGCTCTGCTACGGGTCCCTTTCACTACCTTCAACCAAGAACTGAGTGAAGTGATAAGGTCCAAAGGTGAACCTGCAGAATCAGAATTGTTCATCTGTGCGAGAGTTGTTCGAAGACAGTTCAGCGCATCATCTATCTTTGATGACTGTGACTGTGAAGATTCAAGTCCGTGTGATGGCCCACTGACCAACATTGTGCTAACTTCACTGCTGGTGGCAGCAGCAGCAGCAGTAATGGCCCCCGTCCCAGCTGTAGGTTTGAATTGGGTTTTGCTTCTTTTGGAAGCTGAAACTGAAACAAGTTCTATTCTGTGACTGCTTGACGTCCATGGTGATAAGTGAATGATGTTTTCAATGTCTCTCATCGTACAGGGTGAGGCAATGGCGTGGCTACTCAGAATGCTGCCCCCACACACTTGCATAGACAACGAACCCAATTCTGCCAATTCTGTCCTCAAAAGAACCAAATCTTCAGGTGGAAGACTTGTAAAAGATCTCCGCCCTTTGGTGGTTGATGCGGCTTTGATCGTGGATTCAAATTTTGCCTTCACAATGTCAGTGTTGGAACTCAAATCTCGGATGCTCAGTGCAGTGTATACTCCACCATCCCTTTGCCACAAAAAACATACCCCGGCAGTAGGAAGTTGGTATTCTCCTTGTCTGCGACTCCCACTACTACGGCTACCACCATCCAAAGTTGCTGCGATATCGCCAGTGTCCTCATCATCATCATCATCATCATCATCATCATCCATGGCTAAACAGCTCGTGCTCGCTCTAGAAGCTCTAGTGTAGTGGTGAATGTTTTTTTGTTATTTCATTGTTGTGCTGTTTTGTTATGTTACTGTTACTAATGGTGAAACTGATACAGTCCAAAGATCCGTAGATCAAATTACTTGTTCATGCGCTCAATCCTTCGCAGGGTTCTGTGGTGTCGACTGTCAACCCCGCTTGAGTTTATGTCCTGTGACTGTGACAGCAGAGTGGCAACCCCTCAGTTCTGCAACTGTGCTGCATGGTTGTTTGTGCTGGTTCATCCCCCAGATTTTTGTTCAACCATCCTAAGAACAAAAGAACCTTCCGGGCGAATTATGGCGAACACGAAACAGCCCTTCGGAACCCAAACCTTTCAAAAAGGACCCCTCGGAAAAATGGGCAGGGCATACATCCCGGAGAAATTGGCATACATGGTGGTTTTCCTCCTTCTCGGCACAATGTATTGCCGTGGTTTGGCGGGTTCCTTTTTATGGTTTTTAGCCTATATCATGTTAAATTTGCAAATATTGAAGATTTGTTCATACCTTTCTTTTGGCGTCGACAGTATTGGTGGTTAGATCCCCCAGTAACTTTGGAGTTGTTGTTCAACCATCAACCATCCTAAGAGCAAAAGAACCTTCCAAAGGTAAAAACCATTAGTTTAAATATTCAAAATGTTCGAAATGCCCAAATCATACCTTTCATTTGGCGTCGACAGCATTGGTGGTTAGACCCCCATTCTTGGCAGATATATCCTCTAGTAATTTTTGGGTTGGTCTGTTTGGTTTCGCCCTCAGATTTTTGTTCAACCATCAGCCATCCTAAGAGCAAAGAACCATCCAAAATCCAAAGGTAAAAACCAACAGGTTAGATATTCAAAATGTTGGAAATGTCCAAATCATACCTTCCTTTTGCGTCGACACACAGTATTGGTGGTTAGACCCCCATTATTGGCAGATAAATCCCCCAGTAACTTTGGATTTGCTCTGTTTGGTTTCTCCCTCAGATTTTTGTTCGCCCATCAGCCATCCTAAGAGCAAAGAACCATCCAAAATCCAAAGGTAAAAACCAACAGGTTAGATATTCAAAATGTTGGAAATGTCCAAATTATACCTTCCTTTTGCGTCGACACACCGTATTGGTGGTTAGATCCCCATTATTGGCAGATAAATGCTGCAGTAACATGTCCTAACCAAATCTTGCAACAGGGGTAGGCGCTCAACTTGCTCAACCCCAGTTTGGTTGTTTTTGGTGAAAGTGTGCCCCCAAAATGGTACACAAACATGCATGAAAATAAGTCATCCTTTATGAGTACCAACCCTTATTTTTAGATCCTCAACGGAATCAGTAGGGATGGTATATTAATAATAATATTTAATAATATATTAATAATATGACATTTGGGAATAGTAATCCCATAGAAACACCATAGAAATATCTGTGCAAATTATATGTTTTTTATCTAACCTGAATTCAGGCCTTTCACCTTAAGAAAGAAGCCATCACCATGACCTGAATAGTTCGGCCATTTGGGGATGATTTCCCTTACTAACCATGATTCCAGGGTTCGGTCGCAGTGAGGTCGTGATGAAATTTACCCAGAAATATCATCCAAAATTATTTCAGGGATTTCTATTCCAAAGGGATTACTAATGGGATTACTATTCCAAAGGGAATCCCCACATTACTATAATTCCCATCAACAAAAACCAAAGGGAATCCCCATGGAAATCCACACGGCCAGTTCGCCAAGGTGCCAGCAGCACCAAACTCTTCGCCGCCTCCGGCGCCCAGGGCGCGAAGTGGTCCGCCGTGACACTGGCCTCGGACGTGGCCGTTTTTTTCGAAGGGGGGGAAACGTGGCAAGTTCGCCATGGAACTAGGTGAAAATGATGGAAAATGATAGAAATTGGTGGATTTAACCATGGAAAATGGTGAACCATGGAGATGTTCACAGATTTTAACCATGAAAAATGCTGGAACATGCTGGATTTAGCCTAGATGTTCCATCATTTTAAGGCTTAACTCACTGATTTTCACCACCGGTGAAAGCTGGCGGGATTCGATCATCCCTGTGGATCCGATGGTTAGTCAGGCGGTCAGGGGTGAGCCCAACATCTGGGATGGTTAGCCCAAGATCTGCACCAAAAAAAGCAGATTAATGGGCCACGAAAATCATTGGTTAATTGGTTTTGGTGAGTTAACTTTCTGTGGATTTCATCAAGAAATGAGAAACACATAGAAAAAAAGGCATCACAAATGGTGAAACATTGGAAATTAGTTGTCAAAGAGGGTGAAACATGTGGATCTCTCCATCAAACATGGTGAAGAATAGAGATTGAGTCATGAACACTTGAAATCAACAGGATTGACAAACACAGGGATGGATCAAACATTGGAATTAAAGCCATGTATCTGGCTGAATGATGAGTCACCAATGATCCACCTTGCTAACCACCACTGAAGATCATTAAGCGAAATTAAGCAAGGTTCCCTTCATCTCCTGTGAAAACATCACTTTTCACATGCGGAAACATAAGGATTGTTGAACTCATTTATGGTCTGGGGCTTGATGATTTCGAACCCGTCATTCCGTTGTGGGTCATGAAGGGGAAACCAGGTAGGTGATACTTGGAGTAGACCAGGTTTTATTCACACACAAACTCCCCGGCAAAGTGGGTAGGTTGCGCTTGCTGGTGAAAAAAAATGTATGTTTCCTCGTGCCCATCAGTTTTGCACACAAAAAAAGACGTATTTCATCCATACAAGATACATTTTGCCGTAGAAGTATACAGAGAATCATGGTAGTATAGGCATGGAACTCATGACAATCTGTTGCATGTCTGGTACCTTCGACCCATATAAGTTAAGGTATAGACAACCCAACATGGAATCGAAGCGAACACATGGGGATTTGAGATGAAAGGGTCGATTTTGAGCAACACCTCATACAGTTTTGATCAAATTTGAAATTATGTATATACACATGGCAATACAATCTATTGGCAGAGCTTTTCTTTCCGAGGGAAACCTCTTGATTATATATAGCTGATTTACCATGAATCACGAGTTTTGGTTATATAATACTAATACATACTAGTACTATCTATAGATATTCTATCGCATTACATAACCATCTATCACAAACATCTTCAAATCGTTATCTATAGGTATTCCATAGTTTTACTACTCCCTATAAACATCTTTTCTTGGTTAAACAGACACTGTGCAGGATGACTTCAGGCCCCTAGCCAAGCTGGTCAAGCATCTGGCCACCGCCGCCAGTGCTGCCCCGCCCTCCAGGGCAGTTTCCCGTGTCTCAGGTGTCTCACCTCAGTGTCATCTGGGACCGGAATGAAGAAACCCTGCACCACCTGAGATAGTAGAAAACCTATACTGGTTGGTGGTTTCAACCCCTCTGAAAAATATTAGTCAATGGGAAGGATTATCCCATATATTATGAAAAATAAAAAAAATGAAACCACCAACCAGTACAAATAATGGGATGTTTACAACCTATGAACTGGTGATCGGGATTTCGCAACCATCCACAGTAGGATGACGGATGATATCTTTGTTTTTCTTCCTAGGATCTATGTCATATCTATATTTTATAAAATCAGAACGTGTACACCCATATGTGTATGTGGTATTCTGGATAGTTCTGCAATGATTCTCATCAAAATTATGTTTCTGTTTATCAACAACAGTGTTGTTGAATACAGGAAAAATAATAAGTCAATATTGTTACCATTGTTGTCATTATTATCATCGCCATTGCCCTGTGTATTATTCCTCTTACAGTTAACTATAACTATTGGATTGTATATATTCTGTATACACTACTGGACATACTGGAAAGAGAAGAGGATGCTAATGGATGATGGCTAGTTTAGCCGGCAACTTTAAGAGAACCTACCAAGAGCGGATGGGCAACTTCTTTCAGGGAAAATATTATTTACCGCTTAAGCATGGTGTTTTTTTTCAGAGTCTGCTAAATAAGCTAAATTACTAGAGGGTAAATCATCTTAAATCCCCATTCAACACCATTAAACCATCATGAAACACCATTAAACCACCATTAATCACCATCAAACACCATTAAACCACCATTAAACACCGTTAAGGCTATCCCCATGTTTCTCAAAATGGCCCAGGCATCCTTGCAAAAACGGCATGCTTTCGTCCCAGCCAGACCCTGGGTCTGTGGTTTGCATGGAAGATCGGCACTGAATAAAACTGCCCTTGAGCTTAAACCCAACATATCAATCACATCTAGTGAATAAGTGTACATATGTTATATCATATCTAATAGTTTACAAAATATCTATCTATAGTTAATAAAATATCATATAAGATCATAGACAATATATAAACAATATCTAGCTATATCAACAAGAAAGTCCGTCTATTCACACACATTTCAGGATTGCAGTCCTTCTCTACATCCCCAATGTCGTTGGTTAGATCTGGTTGAATCAAATTCTCATTTATATAATGTTGGTTGATCACCTATCAACCGATTTAGCTATCAAAGATCAGTTTTGCAGAAATATTTTTATTGCTTACATCTCCATTTGTGTTGGTTAAATCTCAATGTTTGTTGGTTAATAACCAAGCCACCAGCACCACATCCTGGACCCCCGAACCGTTGGCCCCATTGGCCCCGTTGGCCGCGCCAGCCAGGGCGTGTGACACTTTGGTCATCGCCTCCGTTGGCGATGTGCATTGTCAAAAGTATGATATATATATATATACTATAATATGTATTTAAAAAAAAAAATATATATTAAATTTTATTAATATAGGGGTGCGAAATTAATTTGGTATTTTTTTTGGGGGGGCAATTTTGTTTTTTTGGTCGTCCAGGCTCCCTTCCTTGGTTTTTGCAGCTAAAATATCTCATTTGCTGCATTTTGTCGCTATACTCTCTCATTCGCACTATTCCTCAATTTGTCCATGAATTGCTTCAGTTTTTCCATGGTTTTCTTCAATGTTTCCATGGTTTTCTTCAATTTTTCCATATATGTACGTATAGTACATATACAGTACAGAAAGTCAAGGAAATTCGTTGACTTCCCAAGACTTGGCCCAAGGATTTCCCATGATTTCCCGCCTGAAAAATGGCTGGGGCAGCCTGCGGCACTTTGGCAGCAGCCTCGATCGGCGATCGGCAATCGTTCAACGAACAGCAGAACCGATGTCTTGAATGTGTATAGAATCATAGGTATCATAGATTCAATAGATATACACATTATGGGTATCATAGGTATCATGATTCTATAGGTATACACATGTATCATTTATAGATCTATAACAGCTATATCCGGCTATATCCATAATAACACCAGGATTGTGATCTGGATTTTCCGTATCACTGGCTTTGCAAAAACTCATAGGTTTCTCCTGGTGCCAGTTTTGTGCCGTTTCCATCAATCCAATTGGCTGGCAAATCCCTCCCACTATCACCATAGTACAGGCCGGTTATCATGGATACATTTCATTCAATTTCGGTGATCTAAATCCCATACCATGTCCCAAAATATATACCGCTCGCGGTTCATACCCTAAAAAATACATCTAAATACTAAATGCCCAGAAAAAAAACACGATACGGGTCAAATTTCGATTTAACATCTGTCAAATCCCATGTTTCATGGATTGGTTCATTCCAATCCCACCAGCAGGATGACAGTTCAACCACCCGTTAGCCCGGCACCTCATCTGTTGAGAGCTCTTGCAGGATAGCTCCAGCCGCCATCGCAGCCTGGAGCCATTTATGGCCGTAGATTCTTACAGCAATCACGGCTTAAACAGTAGAACAGTACAATATAGTACAATTGTGTAAAATTATTGGGGTACCATTGGGGTAAACCCCTTCGGTGGTTTTATGGTTTCAACATTCACAGGGTTTCAACCCCTATATACTTTTACCCAGCACCCTGCATATCCTATGATCCCTGTGCACGGCCCCAAACGTACCAAACCCTAAATCCTGAAACCTAAAGTCAAAATCGCTGCGTATTGCTGGGTCAAATCTTCCATTTTGAGATAAACCGGTAAACCCAATAGCTGGAAGGTTTCCTAAAATAGGGGTACCCAAATAGCTCGCTGGATGGTTTATTTCATAGAAAATCAATCTATAAATGGATGATGACTAGGGTACCCCTATGGGAAACCTCCATATCCTGTCACAAACTGGCCATCCATTTGGACCTTCTCCATGAGTTCCAGGTTGGGTTCGCGCGGGAGCAGTTCCATCAAGGTTCCAAGCAGCAGCTCCAGACCTCCCAACCCGATTTTTCCCAAGAACTCTCTGATTTGAGCTGAATTTAGTGGTGGTTTTTCCAGATGATAAAAAAACAATGTTTCATCTGACAGCAGGCAGACAAAAAAATGTCGATTTTCTCTAAGTGATTTGACCTGGGACCCAAAAACCAGCACAGCAACGACGGTGAAATCAGGGTTTCAGCACCGCCATGTTTGATGGATTCCATTCTGCCAAGTCTGCCAAGTTGTAAGTCATCTATACCCAACTTTGATTAACCGCCATAAATAACAGTGATAGAAAAGGGTACAGACAGTGATAGTGAACTAGTGAACAACAGTTGTTGTCATTTAGATAACAGTGATAGTTATAGTGAACAACAACCAGCAAGGGTGGGAAGAGGAACCAACATTCAGCTATATAGATAAGGGGGGGTTCTTCAAATGGTGATACCAAACAAACATGGCTTTCAATATGAAAATTGTCTAATCACTTGGATGATTTGGGGGTATCTTTCATGGCTTAGAAAAGCTCCATACACATTTGTTTCAAACCAAAGCAATTACCTCTCTCCATCACACCCCCTTGGGGCCGAATCTCACTTGCCATCTGAGTTAATCCCGTAAAATCCCCAATATAAAGTTGAACCTGTAGTATTAAACTATTGTTTAATTAACTATACTCTCATATACATACTATCAAAAACTGTAGTTATGTATGGTTGCATACTATCATATACAATTGCATACCATTCTATACCATTATATATATAATACTACATAGTACAGTACTATATACCATTCAAATCAATTATACAGACTCAGCAGTCAAAAAATATGTCACGCTCATCAAATCCCATCAAATGCCCATGGTAATCCTCATTCAATCTCATTCAATCCCAATTCACGAGATTATTGTCGAATTGTACTGACTTATCAGCCAAGCAAGTATTTATACTCCCCATTAGACACTCAGTATAAACCACATTCAATCCCAGTAAGTCCCCGTTAAAGATAGTTGCATGTTGAATCTCCACTATATAGATATATCTAGTTGAATCTTAACCCTCCCCTTAAGTCACCAGTTGTAGCATATATATATATATATAGAACAGCTGTAATATCTCATTCAATCGTACCCCCGCCCCTAAAAAAAGGTCCTGTTTGTTTTTTTGCTGATATGTACGTTGTTGTTTAGCCCGCTGAACCAGATGTTTGTGTTTTTTTGTGTACATGTTAATCAGATTAAACACGATCAATGATAAGCATTACAGATTTGTATGTATGTGTATATATACTGGTTGGTGGTTTCAACCCCTCTGAAAAATATGAAAGTCAGTTGGGATGATGACATTCCCAATATTTGGAAAGTCATAAAAGTCATATTCCAAACCACCAACCGGTAGATATACATATACTGTATACATATATACATATGATATAATATATATATAATATAATATAATATATTTTAGAACTGGTAACGGACCCTGAAACACCTGAATGGTGTCCCTGACACCCTTCCCAAGCTGCACGGCAGCGCTATGTTGTTCTTTTCCTCCAGTTGATTGCACAACGTCCAATCGGCCACGATCGTAATGCCTTACCAAGCACCGAAGGTAAGGAACCAGGCACAAGCTATCCTCACCCTCCACTACGGGCTCACAGAGCCACCCAGCTGCAAGAGAATGATAAGCTGTAACCCTTACTCTTTGGATCTCAAGTGAAATGAAGATGATGTGCATTGCGAATCGGCAGTGTTGATTTCACATTCCCACAACTTCAAAAGATTCGCAATGAATGGATGTTACTCAGCATGCACATATTTCCCTGGATGAAACTAGGACGACTTGGCTTTTCCTCTCATCACTCCCTATATGTGGTGGCGCTTTGTCTCAGCCATTGTAACCTAGATCGAGAGTCGGATCGGGCTTTGAGGATTTCACTTTCATCATGTAAACAGTATTTTCCAAGCTGGAGGCACTCCCTGAGCATGTAATTGTCCATCACTTTGGTGAGGCTATCAGCCACTTGGGCTCCAGAAGGCACCCACCTGATCTGTATCCCATTCTGAAGGTGTTCTTTGATAAGCTTTGCTTGTAACAACGTACGAAACTCTTGGCAACTTGGTGGAGCTGTCCTACTTATCAGGTCGTAGAGGGATTTACAGTCTGTAGTTATTATTCCACTGTTAGATTTGGGTAATTTCTTGAGGAGTGTTTGAACTTGATCTGGTGGTGTTGGTGATTCGGTGTCTTCCATGGGTGGTATGGCTGCAAACGCTGGTGGCAACTGCAACAAGGTCCTATCAGCTTGTTTCCATGGCAATTTGGTGTCAAGAATCCATCCCCAGTATAGTCTGACCCAGGAAAGCATGTCAACTGCTCCTGCCAGTGCCATTGCTTCTGCGGACAATGTGCTGACAGCTACCTTCTGGATTTTCTTAGAATGCCACAACATAGGGTTGACAATACTGGTTCTGTTCTGTCCTAACAGCCGATGGCACGCCATGATCACCATGCCTTGATGTGAATCCTGAACTTTCTCTGATGCGAATGATGCATCTGAGAACGCAGCAAATCTGAGATCCTCAGTCTTGATGGGTTGTATTTTAATAGTGACATTGGAATGAACTTTGGCTTCATGGAGTGTTTTATTGGCCTCAGTTAAAGTGGATACTTTGGCTTTATTGATATGTGATTGAAGGTACCCAAGTCTACTGCACAAGTCCGGTCTTGAATTCACAGCAGCGTATTGGAGCGAACCAATCAAACCTCGTAAGGACTGTCGTTCGTCATCTGTGACTGGCTCATCAGGATGCACTCTGCGGGTTCGTGGAATTGAAATTGGTTGTATGTCATTGATGTATTGTGTCTGGTTGATGTGTATTGAATTGTCAGGTTGTTGTTCAATTCTGAGTCCAGTGAAGGTGAAATTTCTTTTCTTGTGTGATCCAAATCAAACATATCGGCTAGAGCTTGCAATCGCCTTTGAAAAAACTCTGACCCACAACACAATCCATCGTCGACATGGACCCCAACAATGCCCTCGGTCATGCCAGATTTTGGATTTTCCAAAATGAACGCGCACGGATCAAATGGACTTGGTGTGAACCCCAGTGATTCCAGCCCACGCTTGAGTTCCATGAACCAGAGGTAGGGTGCATCCACTCTTCCATAGGCTCCTTTCAACAGTCTGAGAACTTCATTGGGTCTCATTTTCATCTTTTCTCGAAGTTCAGCTGTGGGTTCAATGCCAAGTATTCGATCTCCTTGTTCTTGTCCCCTCAAAAAGGCCGTCTTAATATCAAAAGATTCGATATCCCATCCCTTTGAAGCAGCAAGTTGAAGAATGAGCATTCGTGACAGCTTTGACATGGTCGGACTGTCTCTAGGAATCTCATGCACTAATGGGTCTTCGTATCCTAAGACAACTAATCGGGCTTTGGGAACATGTTTCGGCTGATCGGCTTTGGCATCATCTACCGGCTTCCACGTCAAGATGCAGCGGCATCGCAAGATGTTTTCTTCTGGAATCTGGTGGCGAAGAACTTTGGCTACTGTTTCGGTTGACAACCAGCTTTCGATTTCCTTTTGTTTGGCTTGTTGAAACAACTCCTTCTCGGCTGATGACAACTGAGACATTTTTACTTCGCTACGTTGTCTCTTTGCAGCAGACACCAAAAAACTCATCTCATGAGGGTCACTCTCTTGACGCCAGCGGTCAACATCGCATTGTGAGATGTTGACTTCGAATTTCCATGCCATGTCATCGACAAGAGTAAAGCAGTCTTCATGTTCCATGAACAAGTCATCAGCTTCGGGCACTGGAACTTCTACTGGTGCATTAATGGCCTCTTCAGTCCACGGTGAGTTTTCTTGGGAATCCTTTGGTTCTGAAGGTCTCTCACTGGCATGTCTTGTGGATGCCGGTGCTGATGGTGCTGATTCAGGTTCATACTCACTATCCCCATTATCCCTTGAGTTATTAAGATTATGATGGTTATTTGGTTGCTCTGGTGAAGGATTCTTATTCGGTATGGTAACTTGATTTTCTGAATTTGGATCATTGGAATTGACTGTTGGCATGTTGTGGAATTGTGTGCCCCCATGATGTGGAACAATGGAACTTGGCTCGGCTGCATTAGTGGACCCTGGCTGTCCATGGTGCCATTCCTCTACTGCGGAGAGTGGTCTGATGTGCTCTGGTGCCGCACGGTATAGTTTGGTGCCCTTGGTGACCCAAACAACCCTGTTTGCTTCTTGTATAATTACCTGCATGGGACCCTCCCAATGGCCTTCTGCTTCTCCTCGGCGTTTCCAGAGCATCACCCAATCCCCAGGGCTATATTGTCCTCTGGTGGGACGACTACGACTGGTCAATGCACGTCGCAAAACTTGGTCATTGTCAATGGCAACAAAGGCTCGGCGTGCCCGATCACGGGCGGCAAGTTCTTCACGGAACTTGACACCTTCTGCTGTTGGGCTCAGTGCGGCATGGTGGGATGCCGTTTCTTCATCGCTGACTATTGAGCCGACCATCTTGGATCCTTTTCCAAATACCAACATCTCAGGTGGATAGCCCCGGTACTTACTCCATTGATTTTTGGTGGTGGTGGCATGTGCTAAGGCTATGGCAAGTTGGTTATAGTTGCAAATCCCTTCTTCATGGTCCATCTTATTGAGCATCATTTGTAGGATCCCTCCGTGTCTCTCTACTCTGGAATTTTGCCAGTGACCTTCTGTTGCGCATGTTTTGCCCTTGATTCCAAATCTCTGCAAAAACTGTCCAAATTCCTCAGAGTTGAATTCAGTTGCGGCATCCATGACCAAGAGCTTTGGAGCCCCCGCCCATTGAACCCATCCCTGCAACAGAGCTTGAGTTGCCTGTTGAGACGTTCGGGACGCAGAGCATATGGCAGTGTGATATAGCGTACTCTGGTCAATAAAGTGGTAAAAATGAAATTGATCTCCCTTCTGATTCGTCCAGGTGATACCATCAATTGAAATCACATCGCCAA